ACGGGTGGCCAAGTCTGTGGTGCTAGAGGACAGTCTCGTGCGCTAGAGAGAGACACGAGCAGGGGGCAGACAGCTGACCTGACGCGGACGCAGACGCAGACGCAGCGACCTGAGGGGAGGCAGTAGTCAGTGTGTACAGGTCCGACCCCGGCTGCCGGGTGAAGGTAGCCAAGTGGCGACCTGTACGAGCACACGTGCAGTGTGTGACACGCTCGTAGGTAGGGGTGAACTGGTGAACACCCCCGTCCTGGAGTGCACAACCTGCCACCAAGTTCGTAGAGAACGAGGGGAGGTGGAGACCTGACAGTGTGCCCGACGGGACCGCAGGACAGGGAAGGACAGTGGAGGAGGTCGCAATGACCGGACCCCCAGAGGGGTCAGCGAGGGAGACAGCTACTGGCCGAGCAAGTGGCTCAAGGGCAGTGCGGTCACGAAAGAAACAGCGAGAAGCACCTGAGTCCAGCGTGAAGGTGTGCAGTGCTGCAGTCGACACAGTACTAGGGGGGCCAGACGTACAAGCACCTAGAGCAGCAGCCTCACCAGCACCTGGGGCAGGGGACACGCAAGTACCTGAAGCGGCAGACACACAAGTCCTAATGCCCGGGTCGGGCGGGACACTCAGGTACTCAGCACCCTCTCCACTAGTAGACATCACATACATGGCAGTGAGAATAGCATCAAAGTCTAGAGCATAGATATCAATCCCCTTCTTCAGGAGATCAATCCAGCGGGGCAGCTTAGTGGCCAGAGGGAACTGAACACGCCAAGCGTCGTTCAGACGAGCGAAGCAACGCTGTGTGGTGTGCGGTCCCCCACACGGCTGGCCTGTGCGGTCACCAGTGCGAATGACGTACGTGCAGCTAAGGCCCACCCCCCCCCCCCCCCCCCCCCCCCCCCCCCGTGCTAAGAGTACCACTCACGGACCTCCTGGGGCGACGGAGTGTGCTGCTGGCCCTGGCCACCGCCAGTGCCTCCACGACCACCACCGCCGCTACCAAGTCCTCTACCACCCCAACCCCGGCCGCCGCCTCGTCCACTGCCACCCCCACCACCTCCTCCGCCCCGGCCACCCCCCCCCGCCGCTGCCGCCACCCCCCCCCACTGCTGCCACCTACCCCGCCCGCGCCACCACCCCCGCCACCACCACCTCCCCCACCACCGCCACCCCCGCTGTCACCACCACCGCCCTTGCCCCCTTTGCCCTTGCCGCTGCGGCGCCCGCTCGAAGCAGACGCAGTCCCGACCTTCTCAGCACCAAGGAGGTCGACAGCAGCAGCAAAGGCGATAGAGGGAAGAAGGGGGGAGGGAGAACACCCCTCAAAGAACGGGGTACGGGGGTCACCACGAGAGGCACCTACAGCGACTATGCTAGCCTCAGCTGCAAGGAGTTCCTTCTCCAGGAGGGCAATGGTGATCTCAGTGGGGCTGCGAGCTAGGAAGTGGTCCCTGACTGAGCGCAGAGTGTCAGGGAGGCGCGTGACTAGGTGGTAGAGAGTGAGCCAGAGCGGGGGTGGGTTCGTGGCAAGGAACTCATCAGGCATAGCGGCGCGGAAGCGAGCCTCACTAGTGCGGAGGTGGGTAATGAGGTCAACGACTGTGTGGAAAGAAGCTAAGTCGGGGAACAGGTAGGGAAGAGAGAGACGGCCTAGAGCGGCAGAGGCCGGTGAGGAGTAGCGGGCAACGACAGCAGTGTACAGTGCCTGCGCAGTCTTGTGCTGCCCAAAGTGCTCGCGCTCATCTTTTGGTAGAGAGTTGCGAATAGCGAAGCGAGCATGGGCGTCACGAGTCTGCCACTGTGAGCGGGCAGTGCTGTCAGTAGTAGCAGCAGGAGCAGTAGCGTGGCCTAGGGCGTGATCGTACAGTGAGATGTCTTCCTTGGCAGTGAGCTGTAGGAAGAGGTGTAGGTCATCAAGCCAGGTGTCGAACTTCACTGGGCGGCCCTCAGCATCGAAGGCTAGCACAGGAGGGCTAGCCATGGTAGCAGCAGTGGGAAAAGCAGTAGGAGTACCCAAAGGGTAGGTAGGGCGGCGCGGCTCGGTAAAGGCGGCGCGGCTCGGTAAAGGCGGCGTGGCTCGGTACAGGTAGGGCGGCGTGGCTCGGTGAGGGCAGCACGGTTAGGTTCGGGCGGCGCGGCTCGGTTAGGGCTGGGCGGCTCGGGTCGGGCGGCTCGATTCGGACTGGGCGGCTCGGTTCGGGCTGCTCGGTTCGGGCGGCTCGTTCTGGGTGGGGCCGTTCGGGGCCTAAAGAGGCGAGCGCGGGGAGCGGGTGGGGCCGGTCGGGGCCGTTAGGGACGAGCGCGGGGCCGACGTGGGCCTCTAAGGGCGAGCGCGGGGCCGATCGGGGCCGTTAGGGACGAGCGCGGGGCCGAACGGGGCCGTTAGGGACGAGCACGGGGCCGTAAGGGGGGGGGCTAAGGGCAAGCGAGGGGCCTCCCGGGGCCTTAGGGACGAGCGCGGGGCCGATTCGGGGCCTCTAAGGGCGAGTGCGGGGCCGTTGTGGGCCTCTAGGGGCAAACGCGGGGCCGTTCGGTGCCTCTAAGGGCGAGCGCGGGGCCGATCGGGGCCTCTAGGGGTAAGCGCGGGGCCGTTAGGGGCCTCTAAGGGCGAGCGCGGGGCCGATCAAGGCCTCTAAGGATGAGAGCGCGGGGCCGACGGGGCCTCTAGGAGCGCGAAAGCCGAGGCGCCCTAGGGCGTAGGTAGGTAGGTAGGTAGGTAGGTAGTGGTGGGCCCTAAAAATCGGTCCTAGGAAGGACCTGCTCTATACCAGGTTGAACAAGAATGAATAAACAAACAGTGAAATGAGTACAAGTAGGAAACCCTAGAATTGTGTACCCCCTATAGGCTAACCCACTGTAGCCTAAACAACTACAACATATATATAATGTTTAACAGGGAGTTGGAAACGGAACAGCAACAGAGGAGAGAAATCACAGAGAGCCCGATGCTGGTTTATAAATTAGAGAGAACCAAGGGAGTACATTAACGACATAAACGACCTTAAGAATGAGCTAGCAGCTGAGAGGGCTGCGAGGGAGGAAAAGGAAAAGGAGGTGGCTGTACTATCCGTGCGACTCTCTCAGACAGAGGGATTGCTTTCGCAGGAGAAGGAAAAGAATTGCAAAATGTTGGAGGTGAGTGCGTCTAACCGTAAATTGAGTATTACGATGTCTATTTTTCCAACTCAACCCTTCTTACAATGTGCTTTCTTCAAGCGATTCCTCGGTCTTCTTGTAAGTCAACAACTGGTAATGATGCTCAGGATGTAGTACGGGCTCTAAGAAAGGAGATGGAGAACATCGTGAAGGCAATGACAGCACAGTCGGCGCAGGCAAAGAAAATGTGGGTGCAGCGTAAGGAGGGATCGTGGAAGGTGCTCGAGGTGAGATGTTAGCCTGTCGGAGGCATGTGTTTGAAACATGCATTCTCATCCGCTTGCCATGGCTTATGCCAAGACATTCTGGTGATTTCAGGCTATTTATCTCACCTCGGACCAGCCACCGAACAAAACAGATGCGAGGATCATTCGAGCTGACGAAAAGACAGCGTTTATGAAATTGGAAAGGTCAGATGAGCCACTAACTGACTGTGGACTTCTTCACCTCCCCTTCTTGACATCCCTAAAGCGCCTGGAATACGCGTGGCCAACCTCACCATGTACTCGTGGCCAGCCTCACCATGTACTCTTGGCCAACCTCACCATGTACTCGTGGCCAACCTCACCATGTACTCTTGGCCAACCTCACCATGTACTCTTGGCCAACCTCACCATGTACTCGTGGCCAACCTCACCATGTACTCTTGGCCAACCTCACCATGTACTCGTGGCCAACCTCACCATGTACTCGTGGCCAGCCTCACCATGTACTCTTGGCCAACCTCACCATGTACTCTTGGCCAACCTCACCATGTACTCTTTCCCATTGTGTCCACAATGCCGCCTTGAGACATCTCTACACCATGACATGGCTGGAGGAGCTGAAACTTGAGTCAGACACTTTTGATGATACAGTGGTTTTGGGCGTCAGAAACCTGACTGCTCTCCATCGTCTTGAATTGATGAAAACGCGCGTTTCAAATAATGGTCTGGCTCATCTGACATGCCTTGGCTCCCTTAAAGTCCTCGTTCTTTCATGTTTTGATCGTCGTTGCGTCTCGTCAGCTGGCATGGTGCGTGTGGGGAAGCTACTATAGTTGGAGGAGCTTAAGCTCGAAGGACACAATTTCGATCATACAACGGTCTTGGGAATGAGCAACATGTTGGCTCTCCGTGTGTTCGAACTGATAAATACACGGGTTTCAGATAATGGGCTGGCTCATCTGACGTGCCTTGGCTCCCTCAAAGTCCTTGTTCTTTCACGTAACGATCGCATCTCGTCCGCCGGCATGGTGCATGTGGGGAAGCTGATATGGCTGGAGGAGCTAAAACTTGAATCGCATCGCTTCGATGATATTATAAATTTTAAACACACATTGTGTTTTTTAAAATTGTGTATTGTGAAAGCGAAGCTGCTTGTACTGCACAATTGGCATCGTCGAAGCGCGCTAAAGGCCCTTCTCCAACTACAAAAACCGTGGGTTGGAGTTCATTTCCCTCCACCCACGTTTCTCAATTTTCAAACGGCTCACTCAACACTCCCACCACCCACCCCAGAGTAAACCGCCTTGCTAATGCCACTTGGATAGGGTACATCTTAGCTAGTGTTATTCGATTGCACCAGTTTGTGTCAACGTTGATGCAAATGTTGTAATAAGCCATTTGTAATGAGAACGATGCCAATAGATAAGAATAAGAAAGCAAGCTTTCTCAATACAATGGTTATGAGACCTAAGTGGCGAAATACGCTTTTGCCTTTAAGCGTTTAGCGTTTATCCGCTTGCGTATACACGCAAAACGCTATACGCTAACAAATACACAATACGCTCGGGGGGTTTTTTCAGGGCAGCCCAAAATCGAAAAAAAAAGGTATATCTGAAAAGTTTCGTCTTCTCACGGCGAAGAAGATGCCGTGCTCGAAATGCACGTCCGAGATCTACCCTGGCCTGGACGTGGCTTCAATGTATGGAGGTGAGTTGGTTTCCGTGCGGCCCCACGACTGTGAATTGGGTTGCGTGGCTCCAATGTTTAGAGTCGCGATGTCCTTGATATTCCACATTGGAGTTCCACCGATTTGTACCGCTCTCGATCTACAAACTCCCTCCAATTTAACTTCTCCCCACCACTCCATCCCACGCTACTTAACAATCAGGTATTGTTCTCTCTCGTCAATGCATCCTCCTGTTTACCTTGACAGACCTTTTTAGAATGTCTTCTGCAGATGTTAGCTCGACCCCGTCCACTCCCCCTCCTAATACCGGCATGGACAGTCCTGTTCAGGCGGCGCGAGTTTACCGTCCCGATGTCGACCACGAGGTGTTCAAGCATTTCCGCCGCATAAAGGTGGACAAGGGGAAATCGCAGCAGTACGAGTGCAGGTACTGCTGCAATATCTTTTCTGGTGCCGCCACCCGCTGCGCGCAGCACTTGGCGAGTTGGAGGAAGATGAGGCGCCGCGAAGTGGCGCTATGCAAAGAAACCCCCTCTGAAGTACGGGCTGCCATCCGGAAGAAGTACGAGGCTAAGGCTGCAGCGGCGGATCAGCGCCGCCAGGCGACATCGGATGCCATTGCATCGGTCACCAACGGCGGAAAGAAGAGCCGCATTACTGACTACTTGGAGACGGATGCGGCAACTGCGAAGCGCGATGCACATGAGGCGTTGGCGCTGATGTTCGCAGCGTGTCGAATCCCGGAGCGCGTTGCGGAGCACCCTCTCTTCATCAACGCCGTCTGTGCCATTAGGGACTCCGGCACAGGATACGTCCCCCCGAAGAGGACGTTCATCGGCGGGGCGGGCTTGCGACTCTGTTGTGAGAACATCGACAGGGGGCTTTCTGGAGTGAAGGCGAGCTGGAAGCGGACCGGCGTGACAATTTCTTCTGATATGATGACTGATAAGAACGGTCGCCCCCAGGCGAACGTGTTTCTTGTCAACGAGAGCGGTGCGGTGTTCAAGGACAGCGTGGACTGTCGCATGGAGACCAAAACCGGCGGTTATGTCGCCAGCATCCTCAGGCCTGTGGTGGAGGAGGTCGGTCTAGAGAACGTGGTGGCGTTCTGCACGGACGGTGGGTCCAACTACGCGGTGGCGTGCAACGAGCTGATTGCGGAATGGCTGCACATTCAACAGTGCCATGGGCCACCCACGTGTTGGACCTCTTCATGGAGGACGTCGGCAAGATGACGTGGGCCAAGAAGGTGGTGGACACTGCGGGCGAGATCAGCTCCTTCGTCCGCAACCACCACTGGACAAAGAAATACTTGAGGACCCCGGCACCGGTGGGTGCAAAGATGCTGCAGGCGCTGAAACCGGCTGGAACCAGATTCGGGACACAGTACATTGTTGTGTCCCGTCTCTGTGAGCTGCGGCAGTCGCGTGCACAGATGGTGGTGTCTGATGTGTGGAAGGGTTGGGCAGTTGGGGATAGGAAGAAGTCTGTGGATAAGTTTGCAGCACAAGTTCTTGATGACGCGTGGTGGCGGACGACTGAGTTTTTCTGCAAGCTGATGAAGCTCCCGTTCATGGCAATGCGTAAGACCGATGGGGATGCCAAGGGGATGATGGGCCGGATGTATGACGTGATGCTGCAGTTGACCGAAGATGTGGGGACAGTGGTGGAGGAGGATGAGGAGCAGCTGAGCTACTCCGACAAAGTGAACATCCGCCGCCTGGTGAAGGACAGGTGGGACGACAGCCTGGCCTGCCCCAGAATTCTCAACCCGGCGAACCAGGATGAAGACATCTTCGAATCAGACGCGGAGTGCACTAAGGTACTCAAAACGTACATCACTCAGAACCTCTGCAATTAAGGGAAGGAGGGGGATGATGGGGATGACATTGGCGAGGTTTTGATGGAACTGCAGGACGGGGTGAGGGCATTTCTGGATATGAAGGGAAGCTTCGGGATGGGGGATGCAATTGCTCAGAGGAACTTGGTCAAGCAAGGCAAGTATGATATGGTAAAGTGGTGGCAGTGGCACGGCACTGACGCACCAAAGCTAGCGGCCCTAGCCATCAGGACTCTCTCTCAGCCCGTGTCGGCTTCACCATGTGAGAGGGGATGGTCAACGTGGGATGGGGTGCACACGGCCCGCCGGAACCGGCTTGGCTCTGCCAAGTGCCGGGATTTGGTTTTTGTTGCGCACAACTGGAATGTTGTGCGCAACTGGCATTCCCGTGCAGATGTCATGCCGAGTGTGGTGCTCGGAAACATCCCGGAGCCTCCCGTGCCCGAGGGCTACAATGTGATGGAGGGGGACGAGGAGGAGGAGGAGGAGGGGGAAGACGACATTTTGGAGGATGAGTATGCGTAGGTGGGTTAATTGATCTGGACTAGCGTGAGTAGTAGTATGTGTAGTAGTAGTATGGGATGAGTAGTTGTCATTGTAATGTTGTTTGTGAAAAAAAAAATATCGGGAAAAAAAACCGGGAAATCCAACCCCCGTGGAAAATTACCCCAGTAGTATTGCAGGGGGGTCTTATTTTAGCTGCCCGAAGTTTTTTAAACCTGCCTGAAATAGCGTATCTAGGGTCTCAGGACCTTTGCGTATAGCGTATAAACGCGTGCGTATGTATGACACGCGTATATACGCAATACGCGCATTTTGCCACTTAGTATGAGACTCAGCACTCTGACAGCTCTCCGCCGGCTTAAACTGGTTGATACACGGAATCCTAACCATGAGCTGGCTCATCTGACATTACTTGGCTCCCCCCAAGTCCTCGTTCATTCACATTGTAATGACATCTCGTCGGCTGGCATGGTGCATGTGGGTGAGCTGACATGGCTGGAGGAGCTAAGACTTGAATCACACTTGTCCGATGATTCAGTGGTCTTGGGAATCAGCAACCTGACGGCTCTTCATCGGCTCGAACTGATAAGAGCACGGGTTTCAGATGCTGGGCTGGTTCATTGGACATGCCTTGGCTCCCTCAAAGTCCTTGTTCTTTCACGTTGTGATTGTCGTTACATCTCGTCGGCTGGCATGGTGCATATTGGGAAATTGACGAACCTTGAAGCGTTGGATCTTGGCACATTCCGTGTGACGGACGATGGGTTAGCACATCTGGCGCCTCTGTCAAAGCTGGCATGGCTCGCTCTGCCAGAGCAAGTGACGGTCCAAGGCATGAGGCATCTGGCATGGTTTGAATCCCTCGAGACCATTCAGTTATGGACTTCATACCAGGATCTCCACATTTTAGTTGGGCACTTGAATAACCTTCCTTGCCTTGAGGCGATTGAATTAAAAGACAGTCGGACAGCACAGATGCTTATTGAGTGCCTTCCGAATGTGCATGTTACTGCCTTCAACTACATAAGGTGCTATCCATTATAAGCATGTTGCTTTGAATGCTTGTAGGGCTCATATATGTTATGTTGTAGCTTTGTTTTCAATGCATGCTTCTCTTTTCCAAACCTATCTGTATGTCTTTACTGACAATGCATATTTTTTTGTTTCTGCCTTGAGGTGCAGTACAATCAGATTCACTCTTCGTGGGTTATCATTGGGATAATTCCTGTGGCAGATACTACAACCTTATTATTCCTTGGTGTACCAGTTCTCAGGGCACTTGTCACGCCTGTCCTTGGCCTACTGACTCTTGAGCGCACATACAGCACAGCATGTGGCCACACACCACAAACGCTGCCTTCCTCGGCCTCTCCATGCACAGCACACCGCCTCCCCATCCCCCCTTGTCACAAAAAGCCACTACTCCTCTCTTTCTCCTGCTGCCTCTCCCCCTTTTCTCCCATCCAACCCCCCCACCCCCGTCTGTCCCTTCGCCCCTCGTTCTCCTCTGCTCCTCTCATCTGCCTCTCCACCCCCCCATGCATGTGTTGGCTCCGGGTGCGTCGAGATGAGACCCGGATTGGTGGGCCCACCAGTATTTCTACTAGTGGCACTCATGCTCATGCTACAGCTTGTGAAACAGTACCTGCGTATGTGCATGTTACAGTGCCTGATAACGGAACTTACCCAGGAAAGTATCAGCTCCAGCCATCCACCTCAGTTCATTCTCTTGTGCTTCTTGCCTACCTCTGCATGCGTGCCTCTTTGCTGCTTTTCCTAGCGCTTGGGCAATCCGTTGTTAATTGCCTTAATGTCATCTTTTGAATCATTCAACACAATCTCTTTCACTCACAAACACCCTCCTTCTTCCTAACCAATCCACCCATAAGTCAACTCCTGTCGTTCCTCTTGTGCTTGTGCTTTAAACCAAGACAGCCATCGCTGTCCACCCACACGGAAAACGCCCAAACCATGCCGTGAGCTCAGGAGCGTGAGCTATGCACAAACATGCGTCTGCTGTCAGCACAATACATCTGTGCCAAGAAAGTAAGGCTCTTAGTGTAGGTATGTGTATGATGACATGAGCCTATTTAGCATCCCGAATGGTGCACATTGAAAGCGGCCTCAGAATTTGACTGCTGCCAACACACAACCTCCATAGCCAAGCAAGCAATACCTTCTTTGTGCAGGTGAGTGTGATGAGCCTAGTAGGGCCAAGCAGGTGAGACGACCCTTGTCAGTGCTGGAGTGTCACGACTCACGAGCCTACTAAGTAGGACAAGGAGGGTGAAGCATCTGAGCTTCAGGGCATGCTAGGTAGGCGATAAGGCACCTAGGTAGGCCAGTTGTCTCAAACGCGATGCGGCCCGCGGCTGTCGGCACGACCCCTCTTATTTCCACCTCTCACCCTCCCACCGGTCCCAGCCGGTTATGCTGCACAGGCAGCGTGGCTAAAGAATTATCTGCATGCCTATGAAAATTCTGAGAAGCGACTTAAGATTTGAGAATTCTTGAAAGCGACTCACGATATGAGGATTCTCGAAAGTGTCCCAGCAGGTTATTCTACACGATCACCATGGTTTGAGAATCTGTCTGTCTGCCCAAGCCACCACTTACAGCAGAGGCCCTGCCTTTTGCCTCACCTCACCCCCCCTCCTCCAACCCCCCTCTTCCTCCACCACTCACCAATACCTATAAGGATTTTCCACAGCAAGCAGTGCGGACATGAGGAGCCATCTCACGAGCAGCAGTGCACCGACTGTTCTGCCCGCCTCCTGCCACCATTGACGGCATGTACTTTGCCTTTTCTCCCTCCATCGCTTCCCCTCCTCCCGCCTACCTGAATAGGTTATTTCACAGCAAGCAGCGCTGTCAGGAGAGGCCATCTCACGAGCAGCATTGCACCGACTCTTCCGCCATCCTCTCGCCACCAGTGACATCATGCATCCTGCTTTCTCTCCCTTCGCCCCCCCCTCTCACCCACCAATCCCATCAGGTCATTCTACAGCAAGCCGTGCTGTCAGGAGGGACCATCACACGAGCACCAGTCATCGACTACTCTATCTGCTCAACCCACCACTGACAGCATGTGTGTGCCCTGCCTCGTTTCTCATACTACCCATCCTCCCAACCATATTCATCAGGTCATCCCACAGCAAGCAGCTGGGGGCCGGCTGGATAGCAGAAGCTGGGGGAAACAGTGCGGGTGGGGGGATGGGAGGGACGGTGGTGAAGCAAGAGGGAATGTGAAATCAGGTTGCCTCCTGCCACCACTGTTGCCATCCATCTTCAGACTCTTGATGGGGGGCAGCTTGATAGCTGAATCCGTGGGGAGTGGTGCCAGTGGGGGGGGGGGGTGGGAGGGGCGATGGGAGGGGGGATAGTGAAGCAGGGGGGGATGTGAGATCTTCCCCCCCGCCAGCCACCACTAATGCCAGTTTCAGACTCTTGCTGGGTGCTGGTCGGATAGCTGAAGCTGGGGGGAGTGGTGCAGACGGCGGGGGTATGGGAGAGGCGATGGGAGGGGGATAGTGAAGCAGGAAGCGATGTGAGATGTTATGTTTCCCCCTCCTGCCACCACTGACGCCATCTTTAGACTCCTACTGTGGGCTGGCTGGCTATATAGCTGAAGCTGGAGGAAAGAGTGCCGGTGAGGTGGGGAATGGGTGGAGAGAAGGTGCCAACAAGAGGTAAGGTGTCAGCAAGAGGGAAGGTGAGATCAGGTTGCGTCCTGCCAGCAGTGGTGTCATCATCAGACTTCTATGGGGGCTGGCTCAATAGCTGAGGCTGGGGATGGTGGTGCTGCTGGGGTAGGTGAAAAACGGTTGTGAACCAATGGAACATGTACGTGTCTTAGCTCATAGACCTAGCTAAAAAAGGGTCGTCTACTAAAAATAGGACATCATATAAATATTATAATTACAATATGAAATGTACACGCCATACGGTAAGTTTGCTCACAATTTTAGGCTACATACGGGAACCTTTATCCGGTAACAAACAAAGAATCGTCGAGCATTTGAACAGTGTGATACGCGGTGAAGTTAGGTGAGCCAAGGAATTTGAGAATGATAGTTCACAAAGTATTTTGCTGTTCTAGACTTGACTCCATTTGTGAAACCTTGTATAGTTGTAACACTCTCACAACGAATCTGTGGTGCACTTATAACGTGGTTATGCTGATTACCCCCACAGTTCACGCCTTATTCACGCCCTCCTCTCGCCTAACGAGGATTGACGACGACGAGTCGGGTTGTACGCCTAGTGCGATAATTTTTTTTTTTCGCCCGCATCGCAAAAGTCTGCACGGATCGTCGTGACGCCGATGGAGGACATGCGCGGAGGGTGCGGCGCTCAGACGGGATGGGGAAGTGGGCCCGCGTCCCGACGTGCCTCATCTGGCGGATTGGCGACGCCTACGTCACCGGCAAAGTCGACTGACGTCCAGAGGACACTCAGAACCGAGGAAATCTTCTACCAACCTCCCGGAGGATTAGCGGCAAAGGTTAGTTTCCAAATTACGTGGTTGTTTTTTTCTCAACAAACGCGTCAGCTCTTCCTCGTCCCAACCGGAGCCGGGCTCACCATGATGACGGCGATGGCACGGCTTTTGAAAGAGCTTTTGAGCGTAGGATCGAAATTAGCGGTTCGATTTGAGGATGCAAGGAGGGGGTTGGAAGCGGAACAGCGGCAGAGAGAAGAAAGCACGGAGAGCCCGATGTTGTCAGATAGATTGCAGAATCTGGAGACACTTTTAAGAGAAATGAGGGAGGAGAACGATAAGAAGATTAACGAACTTAAGAATGAGTTAGCATGTGAGAGGGCTGCAAGGGAGAAGGAGGTGTCTTCACTGACAGTGCGACTCTCGCAGGCAGAGGAATCTCTGTCGCACCAGGAAGAAGAAACAAGCAAGATTTGGGAGGTGAGCGGGAAAGTTTCTTCAAGCGTGTCACCAGACTCAAAGGATTCGATAACTACTCACTCCAGTTCTAACGTTTTCTCACAATGTGCTGCTTGCAGGCAGTTTTCCGGGCTTCGTGTTAGTCGCCAACAAGTGTAACTGCTCAGGATGATGGAGCACGGGTTTCAAGAGAAGAGGTGGAATCACTTGTGTCTGAATCCGTAGCACAGGCAGCAAAAACGCTGGTGCAGTCAAACGAGGAAAAGAAGGGCTGGGAGGTGAGAGCTTGTTGTGAAATGATGTTTATAAGGCACAGTTTTCTTTCTGTTCGTCCATCTCGTGTTCAAAGTAACTGTGTTACGGGCTATCCATGTGGCATTGAAACAGGTACCGACCAATGCATGTTTGAGGATCGTATATTCTGCGATGACACAGTCTGTAGTAACGTGGAGCAGCAACGATGGGGTAGATCCTGATCCTGGACTTCACTTCCCTGGCTTGACACCCCTGATCTTACTCCTCCAGCTCCGTGGACCCGTTTGCCTGACTCCCGTCTGCACTTGCCTCTACACTCCCCAGATCCAGTTGAAGCGGGAGCAGGAGGTGCACGAGGTGCAGGAGGAGGAGCGGCAGCGCAAGGAGGAGGTCGAGGCGCACCCGTTCACAGTCATAAAGGTGTCGCGAGACAAGGACCTGTGGGAGCAGACCGGCAGCGACCAAACCTTTGACCTCGTAGACCACGAGCACGTGAGAAGCTTCCACTTGCCGAACCAGATGCTGTTTGCAGACTTCCAAAGGGAGGTGGAGAGGGAGGTTGGTGTACCGGTAGCCAGCCAGCGGTTTTGGCTGTGGGCGCGTTAGAAAAAACACACTTACCGCTCCACCCAGCTGCTGAGCGCGGAGGAGAGCATGACGGTGAGTGAGACATAGGGTGTGGGAAGAGTGAGTGAGAGGCAGTGGTTTTGGCTGTGGGCATGTCGTAGAACCACACGTACCGCTCCACCCGGCTGCTTAATGCTGCAAAAGAGGGCATGACGGTGAGAGGGGGGGAGGTGGGGGAACGGGGAGGGGGCGGTGGAAGGGGAGAAAGAGTGAGAGTGAATAGCCCCATTACATTCTGTTCGGTCTACAGAGGGGCTTGGTGTGCGGGGCACATGCTATGGACCTGCGTCTGCTCTCCCAATCTTTTCCAACCCCTTTCTCCCCTTATCCTCCCGTCTCCTCCCCTTCTCTCACCCGCCTCCTCTTTCAGGTGCGACAGCCGAGGGACTCGGTGAGCAGGGCACACCTCACGGACCTACGTCTGTTCTTAGAAGGCTCGCCAAACCCCCCTATAAGTCCTCTCATCCCCCTCGTTGCTGCATTTCAATTCCTTACCTGTAATCAGATCTCGCCACAAACACACAGACTATATTCCTTCCTTTTCTGCCCCACCCCTTCCACGCACTCCCTCTGTTCTATTCATCAGTTCCCTCCTTGTCCCCATCTCTCCCTTCAACCCTTCGCTAACTTTGACCTGACTGCACCGGGCCAGCTGTTGCTTTATTCTTCAACCCCCCACCCGTAACCCTCCCCTGGAAGCTGACTGCACCAAGACCCGGTGTTCATTGCTTTCGAGGTGACTATCTAAGTCGATGCAAGAGTCACCAACCCACCCATTTCCTCCCTCCTTCGTAACATATCTACACCAGAACCGGCCAATGGTTCCCCTACATGAGAGGGCCAAGGACGACATTCTGCTCTTTCTCAAGTTCTACAACCTAGTCACTGAGACGCTTAGGTGAGAGACACTTGGATGAGATGCTCAAGTGAGACATGCTTAGGTGAGTAATGCTTAGGTGAGAGATGCTTTGGTGAGAGGCGTTCTTAGGAGGATGGTCAGTTTGAAAAGCAGGGGTGTAATGCAGGCTTGGAAAACACCTCCTCCTCCAATCCTCCTCTCCCCACCTGCTCCTCTCTCCCTCTTCCCTCTCCACCCCCTTTCTTTGGAGGATATGGGGTTGTCTGCTTGTGAAGCTTGGGACAACCTTGCCACACCTTTCGACGCATTTCTTACATGTCTTAAATATTGCTTTTTCCCTGTTCACACTCTTTCCCTAACCTCCCTCTTGTCCCCTGTCTCCTTTTTCCCTCCCACCCACCTGTGCAGGCACGTCAGTTCGTGAAGCTCGACAAGAAAGCACTTTTTGATGCGGAATTTCACACGTCCAGAATGTAAAATCTTACCCTGTTCCTCTCTACGTCCTCTCCCTTTCTACTGCAGGTACGTGGGTCGTCTCTTTGTGAAGCTTGGGCAGACTCCGGCCGATGTGCGAGGGAAGGTCAACGAAATTTGTGGCCTCGCTCCCACCGATGACATCCTGCTCTTTGAGGTGCGTATGGAGCGAGGGAGGGGGGGGGAGTTAATATTGTTAGTACTGAGAGCTGAGTCGGTTCAAGAGGGAAGGTCGACAAGATGTGTTGCCTTGCTCCCACCGACAACATTCTGTTCTTACAGGTTTGTGTGTGGGGGCGAGGGTAATACTGTGTGTTTTTAAGGACCCTGAGAAAGTAGTCTATGTGTGCGGTCTCAATTCTTCTCTCTGCGGTGTTTGAGAGGAATTTGTCAATAATCGGAGCACTCATAGCCCAGGCAATTCAGACGTCGCCCCTCTCCCCCCTCCCCCCTCTCTTCCCTCCAACACCCCAGGAGATAAAGTTTGAGCTGAGTGTTATGTGCGAGGCCCTGGACCGCACGGTCACATTCAAAGGCGGGCAACTAGAGGACGCTGTGTGCAACGCTCCAACCCGCTCGGCCGAGAGGGTGTGGCGGCTGGGGCTGCCGGGAGTGGTGGGAGTGGTGGTGGGAGTGCGGTGAGGTACCTAGACGTGCCGTCCTTCTTGAAGTATGTTCGCAAACGGCAGCTGGTGCATTTCCGGCGACTAGAGAAGCCCAACGAGGACGCCTTCTGCTTGGAACTGTGAGTTGTTGCTGCTGATTGCACCCTAGTGAACCTGAGCTTCAGGTATCAGATGGTGCCACTCTCTCCTTTTGAGGCGCCTCAAAAGTCTCCTTCCTGGAGTAAGGAGTCGCATAATGTACCTGATCCATACCAAGCACAACTGGCTGGCAGCTTGGTGCACTTTTGAGATGTCTAGAGAAACCCAGCAAAGACGCCTTCTTTCTGCATCGAGCTGTTGGGAGTCCCATAGGTACCTCACCCACACAGAGGTGAATGCCTTTTTCTTGATGGTTTGAACCTGGCCAACCCCGAAGGCTTTCGTACTTTGATTGTCGTAGGGTCTCCCACCGACGTGGTAACAACGCTGCGGAGGGGCTAGGGCTGCACTACTCTTGAGAATTCTCGGAAGTGGCTTGCACATAGGCCTGGAAGACCCGTCCAATACCCATCACGCACACCAAATCGAATCCACCCTTTTCTTTGTTGCTCCACGCCCTCTCCCCCTCCTCCCCCCCGCATCTCCAAGCAGAACACGACGACGTGGTGGAGAGGTTATCAGAGGTCCCTTTCTAGCTCCGCCTCACGACGCACAACTGCTTCTCAACCTAAGCCGCCTCCCATCAAGCTCGCCCTTCTGTGTTGCTCTGCTCCCTCTCCCTCTCCCTCTCTCCCCCGCAGCTCCAAGGAGCACACGTATGACGAGGTGGTGGCGAGGCTAGCAGAGGAGCTTGGGCTCAATGACCCGTCCAAGATCCGCCTCACCACACACAACTGCTACTCGGAGCAGCCCAAGCCCCGGCCATCAAGTACCGAGGGGTTGACAGCCTGGCTGACATGCTCGTGCACTATAACCAGGTGGGGGTATAAAGAGGGTGAGGGAGGGGGACTTGGTGAGGGAACGGGTTCAGGTAAGGGGGGTGTATGGGGTAAGGGGTGGGTGTGTCATTATGTACAACTGCCACCCACAGCAGCCCAAGCCTGGTCGCCGATCACGTACCGAGGCGTGAATAACACATGCTCGTTCGCAGCTCATGCTCATCCCCGTTTTCCCCGCGTGCCCCTCCATTATTACCCTGTGTCTTGCAGTCCTCTGATATCCTCTACTTCGAGACGCTCAACATCCCTCTGCCTTAGCTGGGCCTAGGGCTGCTATGGCCGCTGCCTTACAGTTCCCCCTTTCCGTTTTCCCCTCTGCTATTCCCCTGCTGTATGTGTGCTGTACAGTTGACAGACATCCTCTATTTCGAGACGCTCGACATCCCGCTACCAGAGCTGCAGAGCCTCAAGACTCTCCGCATCTCGTTCCACAATAGCAAGGCAGAAGAGGTGAGGGGAGGAAGGTGAGGGGGAAAGAAGAAAGGTGTTCGCATGGCGGATTAGGTGAGAGCAAGTTGTATGCCTGGTGACAAATGTATGTGCGTTTTTGTGTCAATGGGAGCTGGAGCGGCTTAAAGCTGCGGTCTACATACTATAAGGGGGTTTTGGGGGGTACTCTAGGTGCATACCCTTTGGTGCGCAATGACTTGAGAGCGAATTGTGGTTTTCCCCCAAACACCTGTGCGATGAATTCGCTCAAAGTTGGCGATGTGAAACAATTTTGCGATTGGGTTTTCTTGGGGGAACAAATCCGCGGAATGGCGGGAATTTCAGTGCCAAACACAAACAACCAGGTGGAAAGATTTGCGCCCACCCCGCCCCCTCCTTCCGCCTCGATCGATCGTTTCTTTTGGAGAGTTTGCTACCATGTTTTCAAATTATGAACCAGGGCCTGTCCCTCGAGGTATGTAGATCGCAGATTTAAGCCTCTCACATTGCACAACAGCAAGGCAGAGGCGGTATGTGGAGAGACATGGGCTAGTAAAGAGGTGCATGCGTTTTGTTCTTGTAGATTTGCACTCGCTGATCAAACCTGCTCCTGCCGATGTCTCACCCATGAGTGTTCTGTTATGGTTCGTGTTACTCTTAGCTACACGAAACAGGTTCGAGATGAATACGCCATGGATCTGGCGGGTTTGAGGTTTGGTAAATCTCTAATTCGAACAAAGAAAGGGTTGGAGATCAACTTTTTAGTGTCTCAACCTAGCATGCAGTCGGGGGGTTGGTTGTGTTTCATACCTGCCCGATTCGTTTCGAACTAGAAACGCAGTTCAACGTGGCTTGAGAAAAAGAGCTCAATGGATTTGCTTGACCTGCGAACTGGCTCGACATGAAACGCGTTTGGTTTGTTTCAAACCAAATGCAAAACAAATTGTGTATGCAGCTCTTTTTGCATCGAACCGTACTGCGGTTGGTTCTACGCTCAAGCCTTGTTCTGGGTACTGTCCATGCTTCATTCATGAACTGCCTATTTTCAGGTGTCGGTGCACAACATTCGGCTGCCCAAGAAATCGACGGTGGCAGATGTGCTTGCGGACCTAAAGTCCAAGGTAACGGACGGTGGAGATGCTTGAGCTTCAGTCAGTGTTTCAATCTTCGAAGCAGACCTCAAAGGTTCTTTGATATTGGTTTTTTGTCCCACCTCTTTGTGAAGTTCTTGAGTTGAGATGGGACCTGACAGACACCCCACACTACGTGCAAACATCAACACTGAAGCATCCATATAGTGCAAGGAGCTGTGTGAGAGTCTGATGATGCAAAGGCTGTGCAGGTTCTCTCCCAGTGCCTCTGCAACAAGATCTTTCATATCTCCCCTACACTCGACACCAACGTTGTTGCCCTCTACCCCTCCAAACCCCTCTCTCCCAGTTTGTGTATCCCAGTTCATGGTGGAGCTGTGGCAACCTAAGGCAAAGTTTTGGATGCTGCAGGTGTTCAACAAGAGGAACTAGAAAATCTTCCCCCGATTCATATCAACCTTGCTGCACTGTACCTATCTGTACCCCTCTGTACCGCTCTGTATCGTTTTTCACCATTCTCTTTCAGGTGGAGCTTTCACACCCCGAGGTGGAGCTGCGCATGCTGCAGCTGTTCAACAATAAGATCTTCAAGACCTTTCCTCTTACTGAGCAGATTGAGTGCATCAACGACCAGTACTAGGGCATACGGGTAGAGGAGGTGAGGTGTGGTAACAAATACTCAAAGGATAATCCAGAGAATTCGATCATTCAATAATACCGACCAATCCTGGCCACACAAAAGGGAGCATCAACTACCATTACTAATGAGGCATCTGGGTGGGAAAAGCGAGCTATGGAAGGAGGTGAGGCATGGAGTTGTATTGATGATGAAATGCGTTCATTGGGAGCATCAACTAACGGTACGGTTTTTGTTTAACAATCTCAATTAGACAAGGCCCAAGGGTATATTTATCTGACTAATAATCTCAACCGGACAAGGTCCAAGGGTAGATATATATCTGACACAGACCAACCACTTCTATTATTTCGGATCCAATTTCCCCAAACCTACAGATTCCCAAAGAGGAACTGAACATGGGCCCTCATGACAGAGTCATTCATGTGTATCATTTCAACAGGGATGTCGAGGAGAAGAACCAGGCGGTGAGCTCCGTTCGGTCTCTAAATTCGTCAGTGCCTTATAGTAGTCAGTCTTCAATCAGAAATCATTTGTTTGGCCTGAATGTGAACATGTTACTTGTTTGTCAGGCAAGGAAAGTCGTCTTATCTTTGTGATGTCTTTTGAGGCACCTGCGTAGCTGTTCAAGGCTTCAATTGTATGTCTTTTTCATTGCTTGCTGAATTGAGCTGGACAGGTTTATTGCATGCATGCGTGCGTGTGTCTGTGTATGTGTCATTGGTTTTGTTTGTCTGCCAATACCCACACCAGCTGCATACATTTGGAGACCCGTTCTTTCTGGTGGTGGGGCGGACAGAGACCGTCGCAGAGTTGAGGCGGCGGATCCAGGCAAAGCTGGGCGTGGCAGACAAGGAGTTCGCCGAGTGGCGCTTTGCTTTTGTGGCTCTTGGCAAGCCCGTGTACCTCCATGATTCAGAGGTCATGGCTACGCGCTTTTAGGTGGGATTGGCTGGCCCAAGGGGATTTTGAAGTTCAAGAGAGGGATGCAGGCTTCTAGTTTTAAGGGTTAAGGGGAAGGGGGAGGAAGAAAGCGGGAGAGGGCAAAGGAAGGGTGGGAGTGGGGGGCTGGAGATAAGGTGGAAGGTTCGGGTGGGTATTTGGCATTTGGAAATCCATCAACTAGCAACAAGCTTCCATTCAGGTGCAGTCAGGGGTCTGGAGCTAGAGAGAATTAGGGAGAGGGCATGAAAGCTGAAGTGCATCTGCTGGTAAGGGAAATGTGATTCTTTTGTTTCCATTTTGTCCGTCTGTTCATCCATACATCGATCATCCGTCTGCCTGTCCATCCATCCATCCACCCATACACCCATCCAACCACCATTATAACATCCGCCCTTCAACTTTGTTACGCCCCGTGTTTCACCAATAGAAGCGCAACACATGGGAGTACTATCTGGGCTTGGAACATGCAGACACCAAACCCTAAGAGAGTGCAGCACAGCCAGGTGTGTTTTACGAACCCGTTATCGCTCTGTGTTTTTGTATCTTGTGTTGCAACTTTGTGTTATCGCATTGCGTTGTCATTCTATATACAGCTCATGTATTACTGATAAGTAAAACCAAAGGGGTGTGTTGCAGTTACCAGGCATGTGCATTGTCTTTAAATGGCTCACATTGAATGTTGCATCATCATCCTGGCTTCTGTTGTTCTCCTTCCGTTTGTTGACTAATCCAATTGTTGCCGTCTTCGATTCCGGCCCTGCAGGAGGGCACGATGACGAGCTTGTGAAGATCTACAACTCAAATTGCAAAACAATCAGACGTTTCACTGCTCAAACAGTTATATAATGCAGAAGATCAAACAATCAAGGTTCTCCCTAGGTTTTTCTCCCTCATGCTAGATCATATATGTTTTTGTTTCTGTCTGTTGTATCAGAAATTTCGAATTAGTGATATAAAGCATATATAATTCCCTACGCCTCCTGATGTGATCTCTTGATGCAAGAGCAATATCAACTTCCCATAAATAAAAAGAACAATTTTTATATTAGTATAAATCAGAATATGATGCTACTTACTGTAGTATCTACCACTAGATCTTCTCTCTCCTCATCGCCATCACTCCCAATAAATACCTTTGCCTTCGGTTTCTTCCTGCTCTGCTGCTCTGCCACCAGTAAAGAGTTTCCCGGAGTCTAGAAGCAAGACTTCCCAGAGGCCAGAACGAGGGCTCACTATATTTACAGGGACAAAAATGCTATCATTTTGACTAGCGACACAGTAGCGGTTTTGACTGCTGTACAGGTTTCCTCTGCTACTCTAATACAGTAAACGCTTCTGCCAGAAGGTTTTCCATATGAGCTTCAGCAACACACATCAAAACACAACACAACCCTTCTTCAAGAGTCTCACGGCCCTACACCGTGGAATGCCTGCAAGGGGGATAGATACGGTACACATGGTTTACAGATACTGCATTTGATGGAATTGACTGTTGGAGCTAGCCTCTGTGAGTCACGAAGCTGATGTTGTATGTAAGGTGCAGTGGAAGATCAAATGTGGGATGGAATGTACATGAAAGACACATTGTCATAAGTGCACATGAAGCAGATGCTGCAGAATGTGTCAAATATGACACTCACTTCCCACAGGGCTTGGATTTCACCCTCAACCGTCATAGTAGCTTCCCGAAAGCTCTCCACCCGAGCACTCAACACTTCCACCCTCTCCCCAACATCCACTGTACTGGCTGCGCCACCGCTTCCCTCCATCCTCCTCTCATCCAGGCGTTGCTGCAACCCACTCAACCTCCCTGTCCGGTTCTGGAGGTTCTCTTACAGCCATCGCCTTTTGTTTCGCTCAAGGTTCATACATCTATATTTCCAGAAGCTCCTTCTTTCTTGCTTTGTTGGTTTTGCTTCCGCTGGTTTTTGGCGGAGTTCTCCCTCGATGTGTTCCTCCTCATGCTCAACTTCTTGACTTATGTTACTCTGGCAGTAGCCTTCTTGGTTGGCGCTCGCCGGTTTGTCCCACCTATCTTTTGTGGTGGCCCCCCAAGTCTTATCCGCCGTCGTGGCGTACCACGGAGCATCTGTCTACGCTCCTATGACTTGGCAGGGACCTCGTCACTACTATAGTGTATTATCCTCCCTTGGAAATCTTTAGTGCTTGATGTCTTCCTTCGTGTTTCTTCTCGCCTTACTCACACCAACGCTGGCAAAACACCATGCAAGCCAGCTGGTTGCTCCCGATCTGGAGGGTCAGCGCTCTTACCTCTTGCTTCTCGCCATGTGAGGATCGCGACTCCCGTGCTCCTTGCTGGATCTGTGTCGATCCATGTGTGCGGCAACCATTGCCAATGCCACGGCTCTCTTAAATTGGAATTTGTAACAATGTTTTCATTTCTTAGTCGCGATTCGAGACTTTCCCTTGGCCAAGGCCTCCATATCGGCTCTCCCTGATATATCGTCATATCTTGACTCTAGATCCTCACCACCTAGCAACACGGATTCCCAGCACAACCCTAATGAGCGTATGGGAGAGGAGGAGCTTGATCGTTCTTTTCCAGTTGACTCCTTCGCCGAGGAAGCTGTCACTCCCGCGGTTTCTGCTCCTCCCCCTGCCAAGCGAGCTTGTGGTGCCGCGTCTTCCAGCTCGATGCGCATGGCTCATGCGGCGGCTCCGATTGTTCTGCCTCTCGCTCCAGTGATGGCTCCCGTGGATGGTCCTTCCGTCGCTGCGCAACCTCATGTTGTGCCTACACATGAAGTAACCCATGGTCCTGTCCTCGCTATCACTGGCTGGTACTTGCACCTTCGTCGCGATCGCGATACTGTGGGAGCCATTGTTGCGAATTTGGTTCGTGACACTGAGGTTGTTGTTATCATCATGTTTCCTGAATTTATGGAATCTCATTGCAGCGGGATCGTCACCCGAGTCTGCGGCGTGTTGCACGGACACGATTGTGACACGACTTTCAGAGGAGTGTGCAGTGTAGTCGTCATAGGTGCAGTCGTCATAGCATTTCAAATCTCAATAATACAGCATACTCAGTATCAATAAGTAAAATATTATGTTGAAACAAAACCTTAGTGGGAAATGGGGAGTGGAGGGTGGGAGCAAGAGAGTTGGAAATTGCAAATGAGACTAGGTGGCAGGTCCCCAAGACCTGCCGAGAGATGAAGGAGCTTGTCTCCTTTACAGCACACCCCTCTTCAAATCGAATCACAATCTGCAAATTTTTTATTATAAAAAATTTCTCATATTGTGACACGACTTTCAGAGGAGTGTGCAGTGCAGTCGTCATAGGGGGAACGAGACATCAAGAAAGTGGTCGGCGACGATGTCGTTCAATGGTAGCCAAGTAGCGAGTGGTCGAGCTGGATCGGAGCGGGTCTTGAAGAGTGCGCGAGGCATCGACAAGCTCTCGATCGAGCTGGGTGATGTACATCTCTTTAGCCGTGTCGCTACGCCACCGGCCAAGAGCCTTGAAGAGCCGATCGGGAACACCAACATCAACCGCCACGGTTGCGGCTGACTTACGGAACGAGTGGGTGCCAAGATATTCCGGGTTGAGGCCGACACGAGAAAAGCCATCGCGGCACCAGCCCCGAACGGTAGCGTACGAAGGGGAATGGTCGGAAGGAGACGCCCGAGCCCCAGGCCGGAATATCCGTATAAGCGGCCCAACAGTATCTCTGGAGTAACCAGCGATGAAAAGAAACTGTTGGACTCGCGAGACCGGACAATGGCGAGCAGAGGAGGCCGCCACTGGAACCCACACGCCCCTGCCGGCTTGGTCGGTCTTCGAACGAGGGATGAACAACCACATGCAGTCCATGTTGAACTCGATGTGGTGCCACTGGAGAGAAATCAAATCCGAATAGCGCAGGAATGCTGTGAACATCAGAAGGGGAACTAGTCCTCGCTGGAATGTAGCGGGGTCTGAGGACGCAAAGTAAATGTCACATATGTCGTATATCTTAGAGGGTGGTATTGGCTCTTTGGCCCGAGATGGCCGTATGCAGTGACGTGGTGCGTACTCCTTCACTTGGGACGAAAGTGGTCTGCGAGGGGGGACACTTCGCCGATCAGCCAATGGGCGCACGAGATTGCGGAACATGCAGATCGTATAGCTGAGATCCGGGCGCCATTGCGAACGGTGTGTAGCAAGAACAAAGCGACAGTTAGGTCATTCCCAGGAAGGAACGGAAGTGAGTGCTGAATACAAAATTCACGATATTGTCTCCAGTATGGCTCGTATGTGCGAATCGTAGACTGAGCGCGAAGACTAACAGTGAGCGTTAAAAGGTCCAAGAGTGAATGGCCAAGCCCAGAACCTGCGCACAAGGAATATTATGCATTAGCGAATATATAACGGAGGGCAAACATATGAGAGTTTGGAAAACCAGCGCCGCTGAAGGCGAGGTGATCGCTACCGACGCACAAACAATCGGAACCGACGGCAAGACGCAAGGTGGCAACGACTTCGTCCGCCCAACCATTGGGGTGCACCAGTGGCCACCAAAAAGCACTGGGCCATCGTGGGACCACTAGGGTGAGCGAGGTGCTCGAGCGGCGAGCATGGGCAAGAATCGCTGGGATGAGGGGGGGTGGTGGGAATGCGTAGCAGTTTTCCCCTTCCCAGCTGAAGGAAAATGCGTTTTGCTCGAAGGCAGAGCTACAGTACTCGAGAGAGCAGAAGCGAGAGAGCTGAGCATTAGCAGCTGATGCAAACAGGTCGATTGAGTGTGGCCCCCAGCGCCGCTCAAGTAGGAGGAACCATGGCCGAGCGAGGAAGTAGTCGTCATAGAGCTCGATCTTCGACAACTCATCTGCCTCGGTATTAAGCCCGCGCGGGATCCACTGGACGGTCAGGCGAATCTTGTGGCGCACACAGAGTTGAATAATAGCCCGACAGATGAGTGTCAGCTCGAGGCGGCGAGATCCTCCTTTCTTGAGGATGTAATAAGCGGCTTGATTATCGCTGCGAAGCAGGATATGACATTGCCGGACCTCAGCCGTAAATGATGAAAGAGCCCATAGGATTCCAGCGAGCTCACGAAGTGTGCTAGATGAAGCCGTGAGAGCCTGGGGTAAAGGGCATGAAGAAGAGCCCGCACGGCCATCCGGTGTGGAGAAGCACGCGCCCCACGCATGATCGCTGGCATCCACGTACATGACCACGTCGAATAGGTGTTGGTTGTGAAAACACGACCCGTTAAATCCATCGAACTGCGAGAGCCAGAACCGCAACTCATCCACGGACTCCGCGCTCAATCGGATCGTTGCGCCCCACGACGGGCAGTCCGCGATTTGTGAGAGCAGGTGATGGGAGAAGGCGCGTGCCATGGCACCCAGCGCCAGAGTCATCGAAGCTAGCATGCCGGTTATGCGAGCGACACGTCGGACCGGGATACAATGTCCCTCTTCGCCGAGAGCACAAGTTTGTCGAAGTTCGGCGAGCAACCGTTCCCGGCGATCGGCGTCGACAAAAAACGAGGTTGTGCGAGTGTCTAGCATGAGGCCCAAAAATTTGAGGCATTGCCTCGGTTCGAGTTGCGACTTCTTCATATTTGTAACGAACCCAGCGCATCCCAGATCGTCCAGAATGACCTCGCGGTTGCGAAGGGCCTCGGTCCGAGTGGTGCTGATAACGAGAATATCGTCGACATATGGGATCAATCGTATGCCACGGCTACGCTAGCGTTTTGCAAGTTGTTTAATCAATTGGGTGAAAACGAACGGCGCGGTGGCCAACCCAAATGGAAGAGATAGAAATTGGTAGCAACGTCCTTGGAGAGTGAAACCGAGGAACCGCCAAAACGACGGATGAATATCCACGTGATGGTATCCCGACTTCAAATCAATTGTGAATAACCAATCGTTTTTCTGCACCAAATCGGGTACCCGATTAAGCCCCTCGTAGCGAAAGCTAGGGACTGAAAGGAAAGAGTTGACGTGACGGAGGTCCAAGATGAGTCTCTTCTTGGAGGGTTGGACGACCACGTTCAACGGGCTAATGCATGTTAGCGACAACGAAGAGGGTACTACTCGGGCAGCGCCCGTCGACAACAGCTCAGCCACCACCTCAGCCACGAAAGTGATAAAGTGCATCGCGCCGGCGTGATTGGCTGCATGATGCGGGGTCGGTTCTGATGAGGCCCATGGAAGGCGGTAGCCTGAAGTAATTACCGACGTGATAAAACGGCTCTCGCACCACGTGCTCCACCATGCCGCACGAGCGCGAAGTCGACCACTCATGCGTGGTGTACTGACGCCTGAATCTTCGAGAGTAGCGGGGCCGCCGACTTCTGGCGGGGGGGTGGGCACAAGGTAGAACGGCAAGGTTAGACTGGATGTTTCATGGTAATGCACAATCTTCTTCATGCTCTCTTTACCCTTCTCTCTCATCTTCTCTCGCTCCTTCTCTTTCTCTCTCTTCCTTCCGAAAACGGAGGAAGGTAGGGCTTCACCCACTTGTGTACCCGTTTTCGCTCCAGCCATAAACATCCATCACTTTTTTTTTTTTTTTGAATGGCAAATCTTTCTCATGGCTAATAATAGTAATAATCCACGATCAATGGCCGAATAATTCAGGAAAATCTTTAAACAATCTTAGCAGGCCTATTGGCCCCTTGACCCCGCTGTGGGCAACCAGCAATCCCATGGCCAGATTCGCGGCAATAAAAACACCGCCCGTCGCCGTCTCGACGCCATGTGTTCCAATGGCGTTCTCCCTGCCCTCTACTACGGGGGGGAGGATCGGCACGAGAGCTCGGGTTGGTGAGCCGAGTAGGCCTCTTTTTACTGGCCGCCACAATCTGTGTAGCGGCCTTCACATTCTTGTCCTCAACCACTTCTCCATATTTAATCTTTAGGGCCATGTTGGCCACTTCAAAACCGCGTTGGTCCGCGGTAAAGAGAAAGTGGATTTTTCCTCTGCCTCCTCTACTATCTGCTGAAGGTAATCGGCGGCTTGCTCGCCGCCATGTGGAGGTAAGACAAACATGGCATGACGTGCAATAGCTTGGATGCGTTCAAAACTGAAAAGTTGCGTACGGATTCCATCACTTTTTACCAAAGACGAGCGCAATTGGGGGCGCGCGGGGGGAATAGGGGCAAGGGTGAGGTTGGCGGAGCCGGACTTGGGGCGAACAGCATTACCTTCTTCCGGGCTCTCGGCGTGTGGGTCGGCATCCGCGTCTTCGCCGTCATGCTCGTCGGCGGGAGGAGGGATGCGAGCGCGGGGTGCTGTTGCTGCTGGCGGGCGAGCAGGTTCGGGTGGTGGCGCAGGTTCGCCATGGTTTCCACGCTGGAGCGCGGAGAGGAGGCCAATCACGTGGTGGATTGCGTCGTTGTTGGTCGTTGGAATGTTGTTGTTGGTATAACGCGCAGAATTATTTTCTGCAGAACGGGGTGCTGTAGATGCAGCGGAGCGGGCTGCAGCGCGTTCGCCGGTGGCACCTCCCGTGAAGATTCGCTGAAGGATTCGCTGCGCGTCAGGATCCAGACGCGCCAGAATCTCTGCAAAATCGGCAGCTCCCGAGTTGGATATGTGCGCATCTTGCGGGGTGCGTTGATTCGCTCGGCGAGCAGCAGAATCCGGGCGTCGGTCTTCTCGCCTGGCGTCCATAAAGTTTCGCGCGTGTGTGTGCGCGTGCTGGTCAAGATTCTGCTCGCGCCCCTCTCCGCGATTCTCGCCACGAGCTGCCCTCCCAAAATCTCGAACTTGGTTGGGGTGCTGGTCAAGATTTTGCTCGCGCCCCTCCTCACGATTTTCGCCACGAGCTGCCCTCCCAGAATCTCGAGGTTGCTGGGTGTGCTGGTCAAGATTCTGGTCGCGCCCCAGCCCTCGAATCTCGCGGTCAAGATTTCGGCCGCCTCCCACCACGCGATTCTCGCGGTCAAGATTGCGGTCGCGCCCCTGCTCATGATTTTCGCGGTCCAGATTTCGATCGCGCCGCTGCTCGTGGGGTGCCGCGCGTGGGGCGTCCTCAGTGGGTGCTGGCGACCGTTCGGGACGTGACGTAACATTTCCGCCCGCCGGATTATTGATACGCTCGCCCGTAACCTGCCGTTCGCCGTTAAAACCGGGGGGCAGATCGCGCACACCATCCGCTCCGACATTTTGGGAAGTCGAAGCGTTGACTTGTCGTGACCCATTAAGCAAGTCGAGAGCGGTAATTGTGCCAGCCGCTTCCCGGCGAGGTGAGCGAGAACGATCACGGAGGGACGAGGCAAGATCTCCCTCACGCGTGGGTGAACCGCGACGTCCGTTACTCCTTAAATTCATGCGAGTAGGGGGAGGTCTTCCAGCCGCAGCAGAAATTAATCCGCTAGCCATTGTGGCTAAACGAGCAGCAACTACGTCTTCTAACAAAGTACTTCTATGCCCAGATCTGGGCATAGGAGGGGTTTTGAGTGTGCTGGTGGTAAGCAAGAGAGTTGGAAATTGCAAATGAGACTAGGTGGCAGGTCCCCAAGACCTGCCGAGAGATGAAGGAGCTTGTCTCCTTTACAGCACACCCCTCTTCAAATCGAATCACAATCTGCAAATTTTTTATTATAAAAAATTTCTCATATTTTGCTGGGTGTTGTGTCCCAGTGTTCGAAGCATCGGCGGGGGAAATTTGGCACCTTCCTCAACACTTGTTTTGCCGTAACGTTTTTCAATGGCCCTCGATGGACGATGTGAACCGCTTCCAGAGGCTGCTGCTGATTTTATACTGTGCGTCAGCTTGAAAGTGTTGCCGCGTCTGAGTTGATGAGCGAGGTCGGAGCTTGGAGGAAGATGAGACAAGTCCAAGTGGCGAGTCTCGAGAAAGAGCTTGATCTCCGATTGCTACTGAGTGATCACGTCGATGTCGATCAGCATAGTGCTTCTGGGAGTACCGCATCGTGGTGAGGCGTCGCTGAGTCTCCTCCCATAGTTGCTGCATGGTGAGATGTCGATGAGTCTACTCCCAGAGCTGCTGCATGGTGATGACGAAGTCATGTGCGGCTTGGACGCATGCGCGTGTAGCTGGCTGTTGTGGTGTGATTGGTTCACGCATGTAGCACAGAAAGAAAAGAGATTTTACAATAACCACATGAAATACGTTGTTATACGCAAACTCCAGGGACGTTAACAGTAGCCGATATCGTCCTTGCATGTCGCCCGCAATAACTGTTTAACCATCTGATTGAGTCGCTTTGTCTGTCCATCCGTCTATGGTTGGTAGTTCACTTCCATCATATTGCGAAACCACTTTAACACTAGTTGTGTTGTGTCAAGGTTGTCACTTCCACAGAGCAAAGGACCATCCAGAGGGATGTAGGACAAGCATTTGGAAGTGACAAGGAGTGCTGACAAATGCGATTTGAACAGGATGGGCAATCAACATACACCCTACAGTAGTGAACAAAACTCGTTTTGACTTGTTTGTCTTCCTCTCCCTCCTCTCCCACCACCTTCTCTCCCTCCCCTTCCCCTAACTCCTGTTTGCACCCTACTTTCTTCCCATGGTGCTCCTCTTCCCCTCCTCCTCCTCACCCTCTTTTCCCTTTCTAATCTGACTGTTGGACATTCCTTTTCCTCACCATCATCCTTACCGCCATCAATCTTTTCGTCCTCTAAGCTCTCCTCCTCACCCGTCACGACCTTTTTCTCCTCCACTTCTCCGGTCATAATCTCCATTCTCTGCAACCTCTCCCTCTTCCTATCAATAGCCACTTCTCTCTCCTTTCTCTGCTTCCAGTCCTTCTGCCTAAACTCCACCCGCCTACGCTCCCTTGCCTTCTCCACCTTCTCTGCCCTCTTTCCCTGCGCTCGCTCAAAGACGTGTTCAAATTCCTCTGCCAGCTGCCACTTTTCCAACCTTCTCTGACATTCCTCTGCCATTAGCTCAGAGTCATCGTCCTCCTGAGACAAAAGCCACGGAACGAATGCACGAGGCACATGTAAGCACAAGTCTGCAAAAAACTGAGCGAATCAGCACATGCTAACGAGAATCGGTGTGAGAGAACTAGGGAAACGAGTGAACCTGTACTATTTGCATGGGGCTCGAACACTTAAATCGACACTCCTTTTAAACAGGTACAATGCTCTCTCTCTCCACAACCCCTCTGCATATCACTCTCGTTCACAAACACACACCCCATGTCTCACCTCCTCTAGCAGCTCTGGAAAGTAGTATTGAATGCAATCCCGCAGCTGCTTTGATCTTAGCTGTGGCCATTGCTCCTTCTCCCTCCTCGCCTTCTCAGCCTGCTCCTCCTCCCTCCTCGCCTTCTCAGCCTGCTCCTTCTCCCTCCTCGCCTTCTCAGCCTGCTCCTCCTCCCTCCTCGCCTTCTCAGCCTGCTCCTTCTCCCTCCTCGCCTTCTCAGCCTGCTCCTTCTCCCTCCTCGCCTTCTCAGCCTGCTCCTTCTCCCTCCTCGCCTTCTCAGCCTGCTCCTTCTCCCTCCTCGCCTTCTCAGCCTGCTCCTCCTCCCTCCTCGCCTTCTCAGCCTGCTCCTCCTCCCTCCTCGCCTTCTCAGCCTGCTCCTTCTCCCTCCTCGCCTTCTCAGCCTGCTCCTCCTCCCTCCTCGCCTTCTCAGCCTGCTCCTTCTCCCTCCTCGCCTTCTCAGCCTGCTCCTTCTCCCTCCTCGCCTTCTCAGCCTGCTCCTCCTCCCTCCTCGCCTTCTCAGCCTGCTCCTTCTCCCTCCTCGCCTTCTCAGCCTGCTCCTTCTCCATCCTCGCCTTCTCAGCCTGCTCCTCCTCCCTCCTCGCCTTCTCAGCCTGCTCCTTCTCCCTCCTCGCCTTCTCAGCCTGCTCCTTCTCCCTCCTCGCCTTCTCAGCCTGCTCCTTCTCCCTCCTCGCCTTCTCAGCCTGCTCCATCTCCCTCCTCGCCTTCTCAGCCTGCTCCATCTCCCTCCTCGCCTTCTCAGCCTGCTCCATCTCCCTCCTCGCCTTCTCAGCCTGCTCCATCTCCCTCCTCGCCTTCTCAGCCTGCTCCTTCTCCCTCCTCGCCTTCTCAGCCTGCTCCTTCTCCCTCCTCGCCTTCTCAGCCTGCTCCTCCTCCCTCCTCGCCTTCTCAGCCTGCTCCTTCTCCCTCCTCGCCTTCTCAGCCTGCTCCTCCTCCCTCCTCGCCTTCTCAGCCTGCTCCTCCTCCCTCCTCGCCTTCTCAGCCTGCTCCTCCTCCCTCCTCGCCTTCTCAGCCTGCTCCTCCTCCCTCCTCGCCTTCTCAGCCTGCTCCTTCTCCCTCCTCGCCTTCTCAGCCTGCTCCTTCTCCCTCCTCGCCTTCTCAGCCTGCTCCTTCTCCCTCCTCGCCTTCTCAGCCTGCTCCTTCTCCCTCCTCGCCTTCTCAGCCTGCTCCTTCTCCCTCCTCGCCTTCTCCACCTGCTCCTTCTCATGCCTCAACTCTAGTATCATTGAATGCTTCAACTCTTCCATTTTCCCCATCACCTCTCGCATTTCCCATGCCCTTTCCTCCTTTGCCGTCAGCATCTCTCTCCTTGTTCTTCCCAGCTCCTCTTTCAGAGAGGCGGTGAGAACTTCATGTTTGAACTCCTCCCTCCACCGTTGCTCCATCCTTTGCTGCATCTCTTCCATCCTCCCCACCAACTTCCCCACATCATCATCCAATCCCCTTCCCCACTGCTGCCTCACCTCTTCAGCCTTCCCCAAAACCCTCCTCATCTCATCAGCCCCTTCCTCCCGTGCCACTCTCACGTCCCTCCTCGTTGCTTCTAGCACAACTCTCAATCCGCTCATCTGATCGTCCAGATTCTGGCTCCATTGCTGACTCATCTCATCCACCTTCTCCACCAGCTTCAATACCTCCCGTGCCCTCTCCTCCCTCACCACCTGCACCTCCCTCCGTATTGCATCCATTCCTTGTTCTCCTTCCTCCTTGTCTTGCACCACCTGCTGCCTCCACCCACGCACTTCCCTCCTCAGCTCCTCCTGGTGCTGTCGCAAACCATACAGTTCCTGCGGCACTCTTTGAAAGCTGCAGACTACAGCTCTGGCAGCCCACCAGCGCCTGGGCACAGAAACACAACACATTCCAACCAATCATGCAGATCGTGGAAGAAAGAAAACGTCTGAATGGATGAACTGAAAGTGCGTAACGTCTGAGAGGAACAGGAGCATGATTGAAGCAAGAAGGTGGATGTGCGGTCGAGACTGTGTGGTCAAGACTGTGTGGTCGAGACTGTGCGGTCGAGACTGTGTGGTCGAGACTGTGTGGTTGAGACTGTGGTCGAGACTGTGTGGTTGGCATACCTGGCTACTGCAGACATGACATGCATCCTGGTGGCGAGAAAAGCCCCCTTGGCGCGACTAGCGGCCTCCGCGGAGGCATCACATAGAGCAACAATACGATCTGCTTCAGATGCAAGCCAATAGGAAAAGAAAACCTGCACAGTCAAGGGTAAAGATGATGACTGGAAAAGATGAAACTAGAAAAGGCGATGACTGGAAAATGATGATGACCGGAAAATGATGAAACTTAGACCCATTGAAAGAAAAAGGACGAAGAGAGGAGAAAATCAAAGGCCAATAAGTATCAGAAAATTGCAAGGTCAAATAGGGGGGCTAGAATTAGAAAGCGTACTGGTCGTAAGGCAAATGGGATCAAGTTACAATGCAATTTTGCTGTCTCAGCTAACAAAGGCCTTGCATGCAAAACTCGTCAGGCAGACCCAAAGCCGCACCATATAGAAAATGCCTATAGAATGGAGCCTCTGCATCCCACGCTTCGCATCGGACAGGTGGCAGTGCAGGCATGAGACAAGGTGGGAGAGGGACACGCCCGTGCAGCAGAGGACGAGCGCTAGTGTGGTGCAGACGAGGTATGCGTGGATGATCTAACGGGGGATGGGTGGGAAACGGGATGGAAGAAGTGCAACATGAACTCCTACACGCAAGGTAAGATGATACTCATCCCACCTCTCTCCCGTATCAACTCATCCCACCTCTCTCCCGTATCAACTCATCCCACCTCTCTCCCGTATCAACTCATCCCACCTCTCTCCCGTATCAACTCATCCCACCTCTCTCCCAGTCATCAGCTCATCCCACCTCTCTCCCAGTCATCAACTCATCCCACCACTCTCCCAGTCATCAACTCATCACACCTCTCTCCCAGTCATCAACTCATCCCACCTCTCTCCCAGTCATCAACTCATCCCACCTCTCTCCCAGTCATCAGCTCATCCCACCTCTCTCCCAGTCATCAGCTCATCCCACCTCTCTCCCAGTCTCTCTCCCAGTCATCAACTCATCACACCTCTCTCCCAGTCATCAACTCATCCCACATCTCTCCCAGTCATCAACTCATCTCACCTCTCTCCCAGTCATCAGCTCATCCCACCCCTCTCCCAGTCATCAGCTCATCCCACCTCTCTCCCAGTCATCAGCTCATCCCACCTCTCTCCCAGTCATCAACTCATCCCACCTCTCTCCCAGTCATCAACTCATCCCACCTCTCTCCCAGTCATCAACTCATCCCACCTCTCTCCCAGTCATCAACTCAACCCACCTCTCTCCCAGTCATCAGCTCATCCCACCTCTCTCCCAGTCATCAGCTCATCCCACCTCTCTCCCAGTCATCAACTCATCCCACCTCTCTCCCAGTCATCAGCTCATCCCACCTCTCTCCCAGTCATCAGCTCATCCCACCTCTCTCCCAGTCATCAACTCATCCCACCTCTCTCCCAGTCATCAGCTCATCCCACCTCTCTCCCAGTCATCAGCTCATCCCACCTCTCTCCCAGTCATCAGCTCATCCCACCTCTCTCCCAGTCATCAGCTCATCCCACCTCTCTCCCAGTCATCAGCTCATCCCACCTCTCTCCCAGTCATCAGCTCATCCCACCTCTCTCCCAGTCATCAACTCATCCCACCTCTCTCCCAGTCATCAACTCATCCCACCTCTCACCAAGTCATCAACTCATCCCACCACTCTCCAAGTCATCAACTCATCCCACCTCTCTCCCAGTCATCAGCTCATCCCACCTCTCTCCCAGTCATCAACTCATCCCACCTCTCTCCCAGTCATCAGCTCATCCCACCTCTCTCCCAGTCATCAGCTCATCCCACCTCTCTCCCAGTCATCAGCTCATCCCACCTCTCTCCCAGTCATCAACTCATCCCACCTCTCTCCCAGTCATCAGCTCATCCCACCTCTCTCCCAGTCATCAACTCATCCCACCTCTCTCCCAGTCATCAACTCATCCCACCTCTCTCCCAGTCATCAACTCATCCCACCTCTCTCCCAGTCATCAACTCAACCCACCTCTCTCCCAGTCATCAGCTCATCCCACCTCTCTCCCAGTCATCAGCTCATCCCACCTCTCTCCCAGTCATCAACTCATCCCACCTCTCTCCCAGTCATCAACTCATCCCACCTCTCTCCCAGTCATCAGCTCATCCCACCTCTCTCCCAGTCATCAACTCAACCCACCTCTCTCCCAGTCATCAACTCATCCCACCTCTCTCCTAGTCATCAGCTCATCCCACCTCTCTCCCAGTCATCAGCTCATCCCACCTCTCTCCCAGTCATCAGCTCATCCCACCTCTCTCCCAGTCATCAACTCATCCCACCTCTCTCCCAGTCATCAACTCATCACACCTATCTCCCAGTCATCAACTCATCCCACCTCTCTCCCAGTCATCAACTCATCCCACCTCTCTCCCAGTCATCAGCTCATCCCACCTCTCTCCCAGTCATCAGCTCATCCCACCTCTCTCCCAGTCATCAGCTCATCCCACCTCTCTCCCAGTCATCAGCTCATCCCACCTCTCTCCCAGTCATCAGCTCATCCCACCTCTCTCCCAGTCATCAACTCATCCCACCTCTCTCCCAGTCATCAACTCATCCCACCTCTCACCAAGTCATCAACTCATCCCACCTCTCTCCAAGTCATCAACTCATCCCACCTCTCTCCCAGTCATCAGCTCATCCCACCTCTCTCCCAGTCATCAACTCATCCCACCTCTCTCCCAGTCATCAGCTCATCCCACCTCTCTCCCAGTCATCAGCTCATCCCACCTCTCTCCCAGTCTCTCTCCCAGTCATCAACTCATCACACCTCTCTCCCAGTCATCAACTCATCACACCTCTCTCCCAGTCTCTCTCCCAGTCATCAACTCATCCCACCTCTCTCCCAGTCATCAGCTCATCCCACCTCTCTCCCAGTCATCAACTCAACCCACCTCTCTCCCAGTCATCAACTCATCCCACCTCTCTCCTAGTCATCAGCTCATCCCACCTCTCTCCCAGTCATCAGCTCATCCCACCTCTCTCCCAGTCATCAGCTCATCCCACCTCTCTCCCAGTCATCAACTCATCCCACCTCTCTCCCAGTCATCAACTCATCACACCTATCTCCCAGTCATCAACTCATCCCACCTCTCTCCCAGTCATCAACTCATCCCACCTCTCTCCCAGTCATCAGCTCATCCCACCTCTCTCCCAGTCATCAGCTCATCCCACCTCTCTCCCAGTCATCAGCTCATCCCACCTCTCTCCCAGTCATCAGCTCATCCCACCTCTCTCCCAGTCATCAGCTCATCCCACCTCTCTCCCAGTCATCAACTCATCCCACCTCTCTCCCAGTCATCAACTCATCCCACCTCTCACCAAGTCATCAACTCATCCCACCTCTCTCCAAGTCATCAACTCATCCCACCTCTCTCCCAGTCATCAGCTCATCCCACCTCTCTCCCAGTCATCAACTCATCCCACCTCTCTCCCAGTCATCAGCTCATCCCACCTCTCTCCCAGTCATCAGCTCATCCCACCTCTCTCCCAGTCTCTCTCCCAGTCATCAACTCATCACACCTCTCTCCCAGTCATCAACTCATCACACCTCTCTCCCAGTCTCTCTCCCAGTCATCAACTCATCCCACCTCTCTCCCAGTCATCAACTCATCCCACCTCTCTCCCAGTCATCAGCTCATCCCACCTCTCTCCCAGTCATCAGCTCATCCCACCTCTCTCCCAGTCATCAGCTCATCCCACCTCTCTCCCAGTCATCAACTCATCCCACATCTCTCCCAGTCATCAACTCATCACACCTCTCTCCCAGTCATCAACTCATCCCACCTCTCTCCCAGTCATCAACTCATCCCACCTCTCTCCCAGTCATCAACTCATCCCACCTCTCTCCCAGTCATCAGCTCATCCCACCTCTCTCCCAGTCATCAGCTCATCCCACCTCTCTCCCAGTCATCAGCTCATCACACCTCTCTCCCAGTCATCAACTCATCCCACCTCTCTCCCAGTCATCAACTCATCTCACCTCTCTCCCAGTCATCAGCTCATCCCACCTCTCTCCCAGTCATCAGCTGATCCCACCTCTCTCCCAGTCATCAGCTCATCCCACCTCTCTCCCAGTCATCAACTCATCCCACCTCTCTCCCAGTCATCAACTCATCCCACCTCTCTCCCAGTCATCAACTCATCCCACCTCTCTCCTAGTCATCAACTCAACCCACCTCTCTCCCAGTCATCAGCTCATCCCACCTCTCTCCCAGTCATCAGCTCATCCCACCTCTCTCCCAGTCATCAACTCATCCCACCTCTCTCCCAGTCATCAGCTCATCCCACCTCTCTCCCAGTCATCAGCTCATCCCACCTCTCTCCCAGTCATCAACTCATCCCACCTCTCTCCCAGTCATCAACTCATCCCACCTCTCTCCCAGTCATCAACTCATCCCACCTCTCACCAAGTCATCAACTCATCCCACCTCTCTCCAAGTCATCAACTCATCCCACCTCTCTCCCAGTCATCAGCTCATCCCACCTCTCTCCCAGTCATCAACTGATCCCACCTCTCTCCCAGTCATCAGCTCATCCCACCTCTCTCCCAGTCATCAGCTCATCCCACCTCTCTCCCAGTCATCAGCTCATCCCACCTCTCTCCCAGTCATCAGCTCATCCCACCTCTCTCCCAGTCATCAGCTCATCCCACCTCTCTCCCAGTCATCAACTCATCCCACCTCTCTCCCAGTCATCAACTCATCCCACCTCTCACCAAGTCATCAACTCATCCCACCTCTCTCCAAGTCATCAACTCATCCCACCTCTCTCCCAGTCATCAGCTCATCCCACCTCTCTCCCAGTCATCGACTCATCCCACCTCTCACCAAGTCATCAACTCATCCCACCTCTCTCCCAGTCATCAACTCATCCCACCTCTCTCCCAGTCATCGACTCATCTCACCCCTCTCTCTCATCAGCTCATCTCAACCCCTCCTCCTACATCAACTCACCCCTCTTAGCAAATCAGCTCATCTCACCTCATTGAACTCCTTCTCACCATAAAGTACGTCCTCGAAGCACCATCCGAACCGAACACCACCCCTCCAGCAGCCACTTCAAACGCGCTGTAACTGGTGGAGCGTTGAGAGTCCACGTCACCATGCAGACTGGCCGCAGCAGAGGCACCGAGGGAAGGCGCCAACACAGCAGCACCGCAGAGAACCGCTCTCACAGAAACACCATGAGCAAGGGACCTAGCAGCAGGGAGGCATCTCGTAGCACCTTCCACTCGTGGCACCATGATAGAAACAGATACGGCCATGGCCCTTGCGGTCCAGGCAGACAAGGCAAGCAAGGCAGCCAAGGCAAGCAAGGCAAGCAAGCCAGCCAAGGCAAGCAAGCCAGCCAAGGCAAGCAAGGCAAGCAAGCCAGCCAAGGCAAGCAAGGCAAGCAAGGCAGCCAAGGCAAGCAAGGAAGGCAAGGCAGCCAAGGCAAGCAAGGCAGCCAAGGCAGCCAAGGCAAGCAAGGCAGCCAAGGCAGCCAAGGCAGACAAGGCAGACAAGGCAGACAAGGCAGACAAGGCAGACAAGGCAGACAAGGCAAGCAAGGCAGCCAAGGCAGACAAGGCAAGCAAGGCAGCCAAGGCAGACAAGGCAGACAAGGCAGACAAGGCAAGCAAGGCAGCCAAGGCAGACAAGGCAAGCAAGGCAGCCAAGGCAGACAAGGCAAGCAAGGCAGACAAGGCAGACAAGGCAAGCAAGGCAGCCAAGGCAGACAAGGCAAGCAAGGCAGCCAAGGCAGACAAGGCAAGCAAGGCAGCCAAGGCAGACAAGGCAAGCAAGGCAGCCAAGGCAGACAAGGCAGCCAAGGCAGGCAAGGCAGACAAGGCAGTGTTTCTGTGCCAACCCCGCCACCCTACGGCCGCATCAGCTGCCGTAGTTGATGAGTTTATCGGAGCGCCTCCTACGGTCACGTTTCTTGCAGGCACGTCCGACAATGTGAAGTGAGCCTGTGGCCAAAGCGGATGTCGCAGGGAGGCTCCACGAGGCAGGGATGCGATCTCGAGCTCTCAAAAAGCTTTCATTCAATCTGTCGTTCGGCAGAGCCTTAGCGAATTTCTCCGTCGAGGTTTAGAAGCTGGAAGGCAGAAACTGGAGACTAGGAACTCGAATGGAGGAGACGCTGGGGATACCAACGACAAATCACCTCTGGAGTAGCACCCCCCATGGTTCAGGCTCCCGTCTTTCTCGGTTCGGCTGTGAAAGACGAAGCGGAGACGCCAGCGTCGCACTGTGCGTCGCATTCAGCGTCGCGTACGTCGGACAATAGATGAGTGCAACCGGCGCGGGGAGAGTAGTAAACGCGGCACGGCGTTCACTCCGCTGTCCCGCGCCGCGCCCGTTGACGAAAGCGGGGCCTCGTGCCGTCAGCCGCTACATACATGCGTACTGTCCGAGGCCTCGAGAGCGCTCACGATATCTCACACGACAAGCTGAAGATGACAAAAGCTTCATGCGCACGAAGGGCGCACCGCGAACTCGATATCGCGACATGCGAGATGTAACCGTATGCCGACAAGTGTAGGAATAAAGATGGCGAAGACCAGGGCGTGAGGATCGCGTGAAATGCGTAGCGTGCTCACTATGTGGATCCCTGCATGCATAATAGGTCCTCGTTTAGGGCGCGTCTGTTATTATGGAAGTCAGTGAAAATGTATATAATCATTTTTAGGTTTCCCAACAGATGCGGAAGATGGTCAGTAGTATAATGGTCAGTATCTCCGCCTGTCACGCGGAAGATGGATCCCCGGCATCGGCATTTCTCATCGAGGTTTTAGGCACGGCGCGGCGTGATGTCCAGATTGTAGCCAGGAGCTATCATTTGACCGACCACCCTGCAAATTCACGCAAGAGTTGCACATTCAATCAAGAATCTCTGTTGAATTCATACACAGCAAGGACTCACTAACTGCACCACAATTATGCTATATACATCAATGTGACAGAGAAGAGTTTCCCCAACATCCTCCTTACATACGTACACTTAGTTTTTTTCTCATTTACTGTACGGTACTCGCGCTTTTTGGTGTCACAATATTCCAGTCACGAAAGGACCTAACCGTGTAACACGCAGGACTATACCAAACACCGGCATGCCCCAAACATATGAAATGGTGACCACAGATATCTGTGGCTGGCACTGGAAGAAAAACATACAGATACAGCCGAGAGATACAGAATTTACATTCTTCCGGAAACAGTGTCCGGGCCTCTTGCATCCAAGTGTAGACTGGTGGAACTCAACTCACGAATGGCCTGCAGAGAGAGGAAGAAAACACTCGAATGAATGCAAGAAGCACTTACGAAACTCCGTGCAAGAAACACAACTGTACGAGATGGCTCTATAAGGGGACTGCCTGAGAGCTCCCTGGTAGAACCCAGCTCACGAATGGCCTGCAGAGAGAGGAAGCAAACACAAAATGAGACACGCAAAATAAGAAATGGCTGCGAGGTGGGAATTCAAAACAGCAGATTGCACTCGGGTGGAGCAAGCTGACGGTTGAGTCGACCCAACGGACGTGTCAATAACGGACAGGTGGGCTGAGGAGGCCTTACTTCGCAACGAAACGAACCCCATGGGTTTGGTGAGAGGAAGTGAGGAAGCGAGCTGACTTCTGAGTCGACTCAAAAGACATGATCACATGGTTGATAGGATGGCAAACGCTACTCCCTCAGAATCCGACCAGAGTTTTGAGTCGACTCAAAAGTCAGACAGTGAGAAATGCAGTGTGAAGCGACTCACATGGTTGATGGGAATAGCGAATGCCACTCCCTCAGCATCTGACCGGATGGCTGTTGTGATGCCAATCACCTGCAGCCACCAATCTGATCGCGCCATGTCAGCAGCAAGCTAGGCAAATCATGACCTTTATGAGTGTATCCATACCCCTCTGAGTCTGTTCTGTTCACAAGAGGACTGCCTGAGCTCCCTGGGTTGATGGGAGGTCTATACAGAAAAGCAGCTCTATACCGATCGGAGCGCAGTGGGCACACACCAACCTTCTCGTTCAGCATGAGAGCAGCACGAGAGCAGCACACGCACCTCTTAAAACTCGTTCACGAGGGGACTGCCTGAGCGTCCCGGGTTGATGGCACAGTCTGTTTGGAAGAAGTGCAGCGAGGAGTGTGGCACTCCCACCTGATGGGAGGGGTGGGGAAAGGGGAGAGGAAACTCGAGGGAGTGAGAGTGGGGGGAGAAGGAGGGAGTGTAAAAAACCTCCCCGGGTTGATGGCACAATCAGTTTGGAAAAAGTGAAGCGATGAGTGCGACACTCCCACCCACCTGGTGGGCGGGGAGAGCGGAGGAGGGAGGAGGGAGGAGTGGGAGTGGGAGAAGGGGGGAAAGAAGGGATTGGAGAGAGGAGAGCTCCCTGGGTTGATGGCACAGTCTGTTTGGAAGAAGTGCGGCGAGGAGTTGGACACTCCCACCTGGTGGGACGGGTGGCGGAAAATGGAGAGGAAACTCGAGGGAGTGAGAGTTTGGGGAGAAGGAGAAAATGGAGGAAAGCTCTCCGGGTTGATGGCACAGCTGGTTCGAAGCAGTGCAGCGAGGAGTGGGGCACTCCCATCTGGTGGGAGAGGAGGGGGGGAGGGAAGGGGAAAAGGGGAGGCAGTGGGAGAAGGAGAGGGAGAATGAGAGGGGGCGGGGGAGTGGAGGGAGGAGGGCTCCTGATGGCATAGTTAGTCTGGAAGTGGTGGAGTGAGGAGCAGGGCACTCCATTTCCCCTACCTGAGCAGCAACTAATGACTCCCAGGCTGCTAATGACTCCTAGGCTGCTAATGACTCCCAGGCTGCTAATGACTCCCAGGCTGCTAATGACTCCCAGGCTGCTAATGACTCCCAGGCTGCTAATGACTCCCAGGCTGCTAATGACTCCCAGGCTGCTAATGACTCCCAGGCAGCTAATGACTCCCAGGCTGCTAATGACTCCCAGGCAGCTAATGACTCCCAGGCTGCTAATGACTCCCAGGCTGCTAATGACTCCCAGGCTGCTAATGACTCCCAGGCTGCCAATGACTCCCAGGCTGCTAATGACTCCCAGGCTGCTAATGACTCCCAGGCTGCTAATGACTCCCAGGGTGCTAATGACGCCCAGGCTGATAATTCCAGACGTAAACCCGTGTAGATCTGCTTTCTGCCATTCCCCCACCCCCCCATCAACCTCAATCTCACCTGAGCGGCAGTGCGGTGCAGGCTGCTAATGACGCCCAGGTGCCAAACGTCCCATGCACAGCTGCTCTTCAACTCCCTCCTCCCCGTCCTCCCCCTCAACCCCTCCTCTCCCGCCCAACAACCTCACTCACCTGACCAGCAGTGCGGTGGAGGCTGCTAATCACGCCCAGGCTGATGCTGCCAGGTAGCCCCACAGGATTGCCCACCGAGATCACCCTATCAGCAAGCTCCACGTCATCATTGTCACCAATGGGCGCACAGGGCAGCCACTCCTCTTCCCTGTTGCCCGCTCCTTCCTCTCTTCCATCCCTCTGACCTCCTCCTCTCTCCCCTCCATCCCCTTGCCTTTCTCCCTCCTCTCCATCGCCTTTCCCTCCTCTCTCCCCTCCTCTCTCTTGCTCTCCTCCTCTCGCTTCCCCAAATATGACCGCCACAGATGAGTTCTCATCCCATTCCCCCTTGATCAAACCCTCCCCAACCCCTTCTCGTGACCCCCCTCCTCTGCAACCATGCACAGTAGCCCTCTCCTTAGCTGACCCAACACTGTCTGCTGCCGACCACCCTGTCCCCTCTTCTTCTGCTACAGCCAACTCACTCTTCACTCTTGCTACAGCCAACTCACTCTTCACTCTTGCTACAGCCAACTCACTCTTCACTCTTGCTACAGCCAACTCACTCTTCACTCTTGCTACAGCCAACTCACTCTTCACTCTTGCTACAGCCAACTCACTCTTCACTCTTGCTACAGCCAACTCACTCTTCACTCTTGCTACAGCCAACTCACTCTTCACTCTTGCTACAGCCAACTCACTCTTCACTCTTGCTACAGCCAACTCACTCTTCACTCTTGCTATAGCCAACTCACTCTTCACTCTTGCAACATCCAACTCACTCTTCACTCTTGCTACAGCCGGCTCTTCAACCCCTTGCAGGCTGGAAAGAGGGCCAGCTGGTGGCCCTTTGGTATGCAGCCTGTGAGTCACCTACTGGGCAGCAGCGAGAGGAAAGAGAGAACAAGAGAAGGAATGCGTGAGTTGAAAGAAACATGTCTGCTGCAGAGCAACCTTCCCCCTTCGAGTCAACAGCCTGTGAGTCACCTACTGGCCAAGTGTAGATAGACACAACACAATACAACAGGCAAAAAAGAAAGAAAGGAAGGACTGATAGAATGCTTGAAGTGGTAGTAAGAGCCTCTGATGGTGGAAGCATGGTTCTGATTGGTCACGCTAGAGATGAGGTGGTCATGAGAGGGCTCTCCCTTCGTGTGAGGCACTGATGACAATGCTTGAAGCTGGAGAATCAACAAGCGAGCCTCACTTGGTGAACATTTATCAATGTGGTAGAGAAATGGCTCACTAACGCTGAACCTATTTCGAACCTATTTCACCATGGAAGAATGAGTGGGGGATTCAAGCAACAACCACAGGCAGACCCGCATGCGCTAACGTTGACGCTCGCAGCGGCTCCTTCAGTGCTAAGTAACCCCGTACCATGGTCAACAAACAATTGCAGTGATACGAGTTTTGAGTCGACTCAGCAGTCACTTCACTGCTAAGTAACCCCGTACCAGGGTCAACAGACAAATGCAGCGATACACTACCTTGACCTGACTGACAGCAACACTACCTTAAGCATTGCGAGGTCTGCAGAGGGATGCAGTGCGGTTGACTGAGTGGCAAAGCGACGACCGTCGGGAAGAAGCAGCTGAAGGGATGGGAAGAATGGGGGTTTGAGATGGGAGACATGGGAGGGATGGGGTGGGGAAGGGCGCGTGAGGAGAGAATGTTGAACTAGCACTGCCATGCCCGCGGACGGATGCTGTGCGCATGAAGTCCCGGTAATAAAGCGCCGACCGTCAGGAAGAAGCAGCTGACAAGAAGGGAGGGATGGGTGGGGTGGGTGGGAGTGAGGGATGGGAGATCTGGGGGGAATGGGGGGATGGGAGATAAGGGGGGAATAGGGTGGTAGAGATAAGAGGGATGAGAGGGATGGAAGAGAACAGGAGGGAGGGATGACAGATGAACTAGCTGTGACCGATGTTCTCCTTAGGCTTCTGTGACATGTCTCATCCATCCCATCCCTCCCTGTATGAGATGAGACATGAGTATGTATCTAATCCCAGTAGGGTGATTCCCCTCTTCGCCTTACCGTCACCCTCACTGCACCATGAACCACATTGGCGTGTCGAGAACCAGGGAGGGAACCAGCCGCTGAGCACCAGCACATGTGTCATACAGGGCATAACAGCACATGTGTCGTACAGGGCATACCAGCACATGTGTCATACAGGGCATACCAGCACATGTGTCATACAGGGCATACCAGCACATGTGTCGTACAGGGCATACCAGCACATGTGTCATACAGGGCATACCAGCACATGTGTCATACAGGGCATACCAGCTGCTCGTGTGCCATGGTAACGAGGTGACTTCTGAGTCGACTCAAAAGTCACATCGGCACCAGCACATGTGTCATACAGGGCATACCAGCTGCTGTGACATACAAAACATGGCATGCAGGAGAGTGATTCCTCCCTTCGCCCTACCATCACTCTTGCTGTACCATCCACCCACCACAAGTGCGTTGGTGAGCATCAGCCACTGAGCACTAACACACCACATCCCAATAGGCAATGTGTGCCAGACATCCGTTCGTATCCAGAAAGACATTCCCGCTTCCTCACCCCCCTTACCGTCACTCTCGCTGCACCATCCACCACATGCGCGTTGGTGAGAACCAGCCATTGAACGCTGCTGACAATGAATCCACTGCCGCTGGTGGGTGGGGGTGAAGAAAAGGTGGGGAGGAGGGGGGGATAGGTGTTGAGGCGCATCAAACGACATGAGCCTTGGTGAGAACCAGCCGCGAGTGCTGCTGCAGAGGATGAACCCGCTGCCGCTGGTGGGTGGGAGTGGAGGACCGGAGGGAAGAAGGGTGCTGAGGCGCCTCAAAAGACACGAGCCTTGGTCGGAGCCAGCCAGCTGCTGAGTGCTGCTGACGATGACCCCACTGCCGCTGGTAGGTGGGGATGAAGAAAAGGAGGGAAGGAGGAGGGAATAAGTGTTGAGGCGCAACAAACGACATGAGCCTTGGTCGGAGCCAGCTGCTGAGTGCTGCTGACGATGAATCCATTGCCTTAGGTGGGTGGAGACAGGGGACAGGGGGGGGGGGGGGGGGTGGGGGGGGGAGAAGAAGGGAGGTAAGGATGGTTTGAAGAGTGCCTTGCATAAAAGTCATTCTTAGGTGATTTATAACAGGCCGCTTAGCGCTGCTGACGATGAACCCGCTGCCGCTGGTGGGTGGAGAGGAAGGGAGGAAGGGATGGAATGGGGGCGGGTGTGTTCTGAAGCATCTCACAAAAGTATATTTACAATGGTTTTTTCACCAAGTGGCTCCATCACCAGCTGCTGAGTGTTGTGGATTATAAAACTGCTGCTGCTGATGAGTAGGGAGGAAAGAAAAGGGAGGGACGGGTGGGAGGAAGGGAAGTTGGACGGGAGGGAGGGATGTTGGGAAGAAGGTAAGGAAGGAGGGTACTAGGCGGGTGAACCCATGGGCCATAGCCACTGGAGTACTGAGGAGCGAGAGATGGGGAGGGAAGGGAGGAGGGGCATGGAGGGAGGTGGGCGAAGTAGAAAACAAGGAGGCCCATGCGGCAAGAACCTTTGAACGAACATGAGCATGCATGCGCGAGCGAACAGGAGCACGCAAGAACAAACATGAGTGAGAATGCATGGAGCAAGTGCTTATGGAATGCAGTTACAAACGCCGCTTATGGAATGCAGTTACTTTTGAGAATTCTCAAAAGTCACTCCACTACAAGAGAATTATTGTGCGAAACTGGTTGAGCAGAAATCGAAGCAAAACCCCTCGCAAGGCAGCTAGGCTCACACACTAGTTTCTGTGTACGGCTCGGGTGCATTGGCCTTCGCCTTCAGCTTGGCCTCCATCCTCCCCCTCTCCTTGAGCTTGCGCAACCACGCCCCCACTTGAGGCTTGTGCGGCCATGAGTATGCCAGGCTTGCCATGAGGCGAGTGCTGCCATCATCCGCGCTCCCAGTGCTTGCAATCAAATCAGATCTCGCCAGGAACATCACGTCGTCTGCAGGAACATGAATGAATGGAGTGATGAGAAGTCTCAATAGTGTTTCGCCAGGAGCATCAAAGGAGTGGGTTGGTTGCAGGGTAAGTTGGGATGGGAGGGTGGTTGAAAAGAGCGATGTGAAAAGGTGTGAAACGGGGAAAGGACGGAGAACAAGGTGATGAGGGAGAGAAAAAGGGAACAGTATGTAAGGGAGGGCTGCGGGCATGGGTCACCATGCGTGGAAACAGGAGATGGCATGCGTCTACAATGTAACCATGCTCTCACAGCCATACTGCTATGCTAAACCGAACTCAACCCACCTGTCTCTCTGAACTCATCCCCCTCTCCGCCATCCACACCACATTGCCACTGCTGCTTTTGAGAATTCTCGGAAGATACTGCTGTGCGAACCCCAACCCACCTTGCCAGAATCTCTAACCCACCTGTCTCCATGAACTCATCCCCCTCTCCTCCATCCACACTGTCGCTGCTGCCCCGCCCCTCTGCCTCCTCGCCTTTGCCCTCCTCGCTCTCTCTCAAGGGCTGGTGGGGATGCCCGATGAAGGTGCCTGCAAGTGGGGGAGCGACGCGACAGGCACGCGAGACGAGTGGCGGGTACAAGGTGTGTCATTCAAGGTGGTACAAGGCATGTCATTCGAGGTGGTACAAGGCGTGTAATGAGAGGTGGTACAAGGCGTGTCATTCGAGGTGGTACAAGGCGTGTCATTCGAGGTGGTACAAGGCGTGTCATTCGAGGTGGTACAAGGCGTGTCATTCGAGGTGGTACAAGGCGTGTCATTCGAGGTGGTACAAGGCGTGCCATTCGAGGTGGAGTGCATGCGAGTGCGTTAGTTTGCAGGCAGGGCCTGAAAAGGACGCTCATGCTTAACAATCAGTGAGGGCTTTAAGGAGTTTTTTCAAGCGTGAATATCAACACCCTGTAAAATAAACCGCCTCTTATACACAGCAGACCCTGGTAAACCATGAGTCTTGGGTTCCACTAAAGAATACCTTGACATCTATTTGTCAAAAGGACGAGCCAGAGCATGCTCTTGAGTCGACTCAAAAGTAAACCGCATCCTGTACCATGTGTCCTGGGTTCCAGTCAAGGGTTCCTTGATATCTATTAGTCCAAACGAAGAGCCAGAGCATCACGGCATACCTTTCGACCTATTCTTGAACGAGAGCTGGAGCAACGCGATTGGCTGCAAGCCGAACAAATGCATTGGCCTTAAGCCTCATCCCCTGCTTATTTCTAAGGGTTCCCACTTGGCTAGCTTGGACTATAGTTGAAGAATCAACCGTAGCTGAAGATTCAACTAAGTTTAAGATGCAACTGTAACTGTGGCTGCTACTGCTGGTGCTGCTCTCACTCCCACGGCCGCAGCACCCATCAGGAACAGACTAGACAGCAGCAGCACACGCACTCCGCTCCTCAGGAGTTTGCTGGCATGGGAGAGAGCAGCAGCAATGGCACCGCGGCGGGAAAGAGCAGCGGGGAAAATGAGGATAACGGCGGTGGTGACTTGAACAGGCGAAACAAGCAGCGACACCAGTGGTAGCAGCGGAAGCAGAGAAAGCAAGGGAATCAGAGGACGGTCAAGCGAGGGGGAGACGAGTTCCCGAGGCTCGAGCAGAGGCTCGGCCCAATTCACTGTGACAGGCTTGGGAGGGAGAGGCTCAGGCAAGGACGGCTCAAGTGGGCCACTGGCGCCCAGCCTCCCTTGTTGGAGCAACCATGTGGACGCATGTGGAAGGGCGGAGAGGAGAGCGGAGAGGCGGGCGGAGGCGAAGGCGGAAATGCCCCATTCCCCTGTGCGTGCGAGAGAGGGGTCGGGAGTGGGGAGGAGTGTGTTGCGGTGGTGCGTGCTTGTTGTGTGAGCAGGCGTGTGCCCGGAGTTGGTCGGTTCAGGGACGGATGGAAGGGTGCAGGGAGGCATGGGCGGGCGAGGAGCAGGGAGGCGGAATGAGGAGGCGGGAAGCAGCTGCAAGGACGAGAAGGACGACGCTGCTCTGAGTGTCGGACGGTTTCTGACCCTCTATTATAGAACCTACTGCGGATTTGAAGTGCCTTGCGAGGAGACTTGGGAGCAAGCCGTCGAGCCGTAGACGCGTGAATTGTGCCTGATCCGAGCGCCGAGTGAGCAGCCATTCACATTGCTCAGCTCTGCGCGCGCAAGCACGTCACGCGCGCGCGAAGCTACTGTGGATTCGAGGTGCCTTGCGAGGGGACTTGGGAGCAATGCGTCGAGCCGTAGACGCGTGAATTGTGCCTGATGTAAATACGTGTCCTCTTGTTGGCAGGAACTCTAAGTTGTTCTAAACGATAGAGCACACTCTCGGCTTTCCAACGAGCCGTCAAGCACGTTAATCGCCTAAGTATCCGGCGAGATATAGGCGTTCACGTGAATGCTTATGCTCTTAGGACGCAGGATAGAAGCTCTCTGGAATTTTGAGTTCGGATGGACCATGTACAAGATGATTCAGAGTTTCAGAATAAAACATGCATACAAGGCAAGTCGATTTATAGCAAATGCATTACATCGAACTGCACATGTAACATCGCATCGCTACATTCGCGTCGCGAATGCGCCGCGTGTAACATTTCGGTTGGGGTGAAATTCGGCCACCGAATTTCACACCGAACACACCGAATTCGCCTTGCACTTGAAGGTTGGAATGTCGTGCCGCCACGTGGCACCAAACCATGAGTCTTTCAAAGTCAACCGGTGCTTCCCCACCGATCCCTAGTCAAAGGGATCGAAGGCACCGAAGTGCCCTCGGTGGGTTGGGGGCATACCACCGCCCCACCACCGTTTGCCTCCAACAGAACCTACTGCGGATTCGAGGTGCCTTGCGAGGAGACTTGGGAGCAACGCGTCGAGCCGTAGATGCGTGAATTGTGCCTGATCCGAGCGCCGAGTGAGCAGCCATTCACATTGCTCAGCTCTGCACGCGCAAGCACGTCACGCGCGCGCGAAGCTTCTCGGGCTCCTTGAGTGAGATTCCACGAACGTGCTCATAAGTTGACTGATTGTCTGATCACCACACGGCCGGTGGTCATCACTGTAGGTTCTGTGTGGCGGTGGTGGAATCACCCCACAATCACCAACAGCCATGGTAAAACGCGTGCGGGGTGAACACTGAATTGCCGCGAGAGGGCCAGTGTTGCAAGGTGTAATTTGACCGTCCTCCTATACCGTCTCCTCGCTTACAAAATCGCAAAAGCTGACTGATAACTCAACGGATCGGCTTCATGAGTTATTAATCCGAGCCGCCCGTTTCTGCTGTTGAGGAATGTGAAAGCCATTTCACCACACAATAGTATCCATTTCGATTGGACAGAGGAGACAGATGTGCGTTAGAACATCACCAAAATGTTTCTGACCCTAGCGTGACCCACCTTCCGGCCTGACCCAAGCCAGGCTTGTAAATGCCCCCAGAGTTTCTTTGGGGTCAAATTGGGGTTAGTGGTCAGTACAGGGTCAGATCTGAGTCAGTGAGTTTTTTGGCCCAAAATTAACTTGCCCCGCACAGCCCTTGGGGATCTGGGGATGCGGGTTCGATACTTGTCGGTGGCGGTTCTAGACTCCAATTTTTCTATTGACTTCGAAACTTATTAATTGTAAGAAACAAAACATTTCAGTATTTACCGAGACTCCACCGCTGAACAACTATGTCAAATCCTCACAACATAAGGTTCAATATACATTTTCCGATAATTGTTTTTTACGACGAAATCAAATCTGGCTAGGGTTTCAATTTCCATTGTCCTTCTGGTGGTGTTCACCAACCTCACCTCACAGCATGTATCCTTTTACTTCCTGACATTTCGCATTTAGATCTACCTGCTCCAATGTTGAATCTTAGAGATTTCACTAACCCTTCCCTCTACCCTTAGCTGCCTTGAGCGCTTTCTTAAAAATACCCCTACCCCGCCCTCTTTCGATTTCTATCTGTCCTCATTGCAGGCTTCGATTACTGTCAGCAACAGCTACTTTCTAGTCGTCATATAAGCGTCTCGAGGTATTGTTGTGCTTCCATGCGTTTGTTTTGCTTTAATTTCATGGCCACTTTGTTCTCAGCTGTACATGTCATGTCATGTGTGTTAACGGCTGTCCATAAGGAGTGTAGGATGGGCGCTGCTACATCGGGAGCAGCTAAAGGACGGACGGGCACTGCCGCAGTCGCGAGCAACTAAAGGACGCAACGGGCGCTGCTACGTCGCGAGCAGTTAAGGGACGCGACGGGCGCTGCGTCGAGCATTCAAGGGACACGACGGACGCGACTACGTCGTGGCAGCTTAGGGACGCGCCGGGCGCAGCGACGGGCGCTGCGACAAGAGCCGCTAAGTACGCGCCTTACAGCTATTTCCCATTGTTAACACTCGGTTTACGCTTCTAATCGATATTATTATTGCTTCTTTAACAAGTTTACGCTTCTTTAACAAGCTTACGCTTCTAATCGATATTATTATTGCTTTCTATTACATGTACATTTGTGTGGCAGGAAGCAGTGTCATCTCTACATGTGAGATTGACAAGCTTGTTTCACGTTGATTTTATGTGCTGAATATTTTTTTTGTTTTGCTTGATTGTTACGACTCCAATTCCTTTTTATTTTTGCTTCCCAATATGAGAACCTTTTTGTGGCAGAAAGCGAGTATCAACACAGGGGGCGATTCTTCAGCGACAAAACGCTAGTTAACTAAGGTGATTCATCTGAATTTTTAGCGCTGATGTTCTGTCCAAAAAAATATACCAATCTGTGATTCCGCCACAGCAATCTCTTAAAGCCGTCTTTCCTTGCAGATTGTTGTTTCATTTTCCAGACATTGCAATACATTCTATCTTGCCGCCATTGAGATATATAAATTCACCTATCCTTGCAGATTGTTGTCAGCTTGTCTCATGTCTCCTTTTCTTTAGTCTACATGCAGGTGCATATATGTTGTGAAGATTAATTTGGTTAAACTATGCAGCTTTTCGCCCCTTAACAACCTGACATGGAAACAAGCACGTGAAGATTATAATTATTATGCCATGCCTGATCTTATTTTGGGGCACAGAGCAATGAAGGTGATGTTTCCGAATTATAAGGTGATAAGTGCTAAATGATTGTTCTGGTTTTTATTTTTTTTAGCTGGCGTTATCTCATTTGTAATGCCGTTCACCCTATAATGTGTGTTGGTTTTGTGTTCCCAGGTTGTTTTAGCACTGCATTGTTTTTAATATTCTGCGGCCACTGTGTCAGAATCCCAACCACTAGACCATTGGGATAAAAGGGCTTGTTTTAGTAGCGGGTCAGTGCGCCCATAACCCCCCAGGCAAACGCGCCTGTAACCCCCCCAGGATCGATCGGGGATCTCACAGTGTAGCTCTACTGACACCCCCCCACACTGGGAGGCCCAGGACTGAGCACAGTGGCAACGGCCAACATGTGCATACACCGGGATTCGAACCCGAGACCGCTCTGATACCATGTCAGAATCCCAACCACTAGACCATTGGGATAAAAGGGCTTGTTTTAGTACCGGGTCAGTGCGCCCATAACCCCCCAGGCAAACGCGCCTGTAACCCCCCCAGGATCGATCGGGGATCTCACAGTGTAGCTCTACTGACACACTGTACAAGGCCCTGTTTTTTACATAGTCATGTTATTTAATATTTTGTTGTATTGTGGAAAATATATTATACAATTTCATCAAAATATGCTTATTACAAAAAAGAACACACTGTAAAGGGGAAATAATCGGGCCATGCGCTGGCCTGTGACCCGAAACTGACCCAAATGTGACTTTTTCCGCCAAATCTTAACCCGTACCTGACTTTTCTCGCCAAAAATCTGACCCGTACCTGACCCGTACCTGACCCGAAAGTCACTTTTGGGTGAGCCTATCTGACCCCAGACTAACCTAAAGTGTCAGTTCCAAAAGTAACGTCTGGGACATCTTTCCAGATGTCCCGAATCTTGCCCGGAAGTCAC